TAGGAGCAAAGGAAGGGTCTTGTTCGGCTGGCTGTCTCTTGACAGTCTCTGGCGCTTCAACTTCTTCGGTAGGATGGTGTAGCATGGTGGCATGATTGGGACATGCTTCCGAATCTGATGGTATTGCTGTCTCGCCAGATGATCTAGGCGAACGGCTCTGTTCGTGCAATGGTATGGCAACCTCATCGTTTGGAGTTGTTCCAGGGTGCCAGGAGAGGTACGTGTCGCCGTGCGGGTGTGAGCTTTGCGGATGTTCATCTACTCGTCCTGATGGAGGTATGTAGCTAGTATATGAGCGATTTCTCGACTCTTGTAGTCTGAGCGATTCTGCTGGTGTTTGCGGCCAGCCCCTGGGAGGGCTTCAGTATGTGGTGTCGGCCGCTCCATGATCATGCAGGGGACAACAGGAGCAGGTAGTTAGAATGAGTATTGGATCACAGTAGCTCGCTCATTGAAGTCCGGGTCCACTCTAGAGTTTGGATGGAAACAATGCAATCCACGATGTCACAACAATGAAGCTTGAAAAGAGAGGGAGCAACTCCCTTACCTAGTCGCTCCTACCTATAACTAGCCTTTAATGAGAGCCATACATGCCAGGCCTCATTCTGATGTTTATCATGACGACACGGAATATGCACGTTGGACGGCACATGAGATGGCGGGCTTTGTTTGAGGTCACGGAACTCCGAAGTGAACATCCTTGAGAACAGCATATACTTGTTACACAGCACAACGCAATCTTTGTGCTTGCGATCTGCTCGAAGATAACCACGAGTGTCACATAGAGAAACTCCTTGCGCTCTATAGGCTTAACCCTTCCGTTTGAGCCTCAAGCCACGCCGAGTGCTTATGTCTTCCCTGATCTACGACGGAGCATCTGTCATTGGCAACACTCCCCGAGTCACAACCAGATCGCTACGTGAGCCGAGTTATTCAAGAGAATTGCCGCGCATCACCGTCTCGATACGGTAAAAGACACCAGGCGCTTGCAACACCTGTTATCCAGCCACGCGGCGTGACCAGACTCCCGGACCTTTGCTTCCACCACCAACAACATCGACGTGAGTATCGAGCTCTTGTTACACACCACAGCCACTAGAACATCGTCATATTGGTCTCGTGTCAGGATCTGAGATGCCTAGCATCGCAAGCAAGATGATATCTTGTCTCCAAGACTGCACCGATGATGCATTGCCAAAGAAGTACGATACATCTCTTTCTGGACAGCTCGAGGTCATCAAGGCGACGCGCTCAGAAGAAAGATGATGCTATGGATGCATCCGAGAAGGCCATCCACATTTGTCAAGGCCACAGACGCGATTTTCGACACAATGTGCCTCGTCATCACCACGGCCCACCAAACAGTACCCTCTCAGCTTGCAAAAGTACAGCCCCTTCTGCCAGCGAAGCGCAGTCTCTTCTGACCACTGATGACGACCTCTCGGATGTTCAGTTCGACAACTGAAGCGTGAAGACAAGAGTATGAGTGTTTGCGCAGATTCAAAAACAAAGGAAGTAGCAGTCTTGGATTTCGTGAATAGAGAAAAAACGAATAGCAAGAACCTCGAACAATGTAAATGCCGCTGGAACGCTACAAGGGAGGTCAACACCCAAACGACACATGCAAAAACAAACCAAACGACATACAGGAAACCCAAATCAAGCGTCAAGTTCTGCTACCAAAAACAAGGCAAAACAAGCAAACAAGACACTACCAGATTGAACCAAAACATAAAGTCTCATACGCGCGTCTTGAACAGCATCCTCAAACCGCTCGGCTCTTTCTTCTTGCGCTTCTCTTTGTCCTTTGAACTGCTCACAGTAGAGTCCTTGTCACTCTTCGTGTCTTTTTTGCTCTTCTTAGACTTGGATGTCTTGCGAAACTTGCTCGAGCGCATGGACTTTAGGTCTTCTTCGCGAAGTATGCCATCTGCGACGAGGTGTTTGCCAGCATCGGGTGTGATGAACTCACCATCAACACTTGTACCCAAACTTTGTGCTTCGGCATCAGCAATGCCACGACGCCAGACCTCTATGTGGCCGAGGTCACCATCGAGCTCATATAGCTCATCGTACTCGGACACGGATTCGTTGTCTGCAATCTGGCGCTGTGATCCAGCTTTGAGTTCGGCGGCCTCCTCCTTGTGCTTTTGGATCTTCTTGATGATCTTGTAGCCACCGAATGCAATGACCGTGACACCAACGCCGACACCAGCAGCAATCATGAATTGAGGCGAGGCAAGCAAGGCAATGATGGCTGGAAAGGCCGTTTTCATGGATGTCAGAACGCCAGGAGCCATCTTGCCTGCCATGGTACTGATTTCACCAAGAGTCAAGGCCACAGCGGCCAAGGCATCTGGGTTCTTCTGGAGGTTCTCGATGGTGGCAATAACAGAGTGCTGAACGCAATTTGCCTCATCCAGGAGTTGTTGCAACTTTGTCATCTTCTGTCGTAACTCGATTTCATTCTCCTGAGGGCGCTCTGGCAATGGTGGAGGCAATTCGCCATAAGCAAGGTCCATGTCGATGTCCGCCTCGGATGCTGAGCGCGAAGTCCTTGGTCTTCTGACTTCATGGCCCATATCGGTAGTATGTCTTCGGACAAGTTCGTTGTGTTGTCTCTCGCCTTCTGGGCTGAGTTCGTTGCGTAGACTTGACTGCCGATGACTTCTCGTAGTTGCAGGCTTGTCGTTGGCATAGAAAGTATCCGAGTAGCCACGATCCACAAGTGGACGATTTCGATGTGGTCCTTCTTTCCTCGGTCTGCGAGAGCGACGAGAGGCTTGTGAGGCACGATCGTCGTCTTCTAGTGTGAACTTTTCGAGTGTCTTTTGAACTCGCTTCTGTTCGATTTCCGCGTCGCGCACAGCTTTGATCTCGGCTTTGCGTTCTCTGTACGCTGACTTGGCTTCCTTGAAAACGTTGACGACATGTTTTCCCGTACTGACAACCTTGCCAGACTTGTTGACCACTGTCACCGTTTGGCCGATTGCCATGTTCTAGATGTTTTTCTGCTGTAGGGCTTTCCGTAGGTAAAATATGTTGTGCCTCGTTGAATGAGCTTGACCGGCAAGCAAGTTGAGGAGCGGTGAAATAATTGTTCTGGTTGATAGAGCTTGTGGTAATGATGTCGTGAGTTCGAAAATGAGGGGGCTGGTCGTTTATGTAGCGGTGTGCAGAAGACAAATGAGATCCTTCAAAGAACAAAGATGCGATAAGTGTTCGATCTTCCAACAAAGCAAGGGTTCTTTGAGATCTTGACAAAGGACACGACCAGATCACCCTGAGTCGTCGGATAATATACTTTCCGATAACGTGATGGGATGGCCTTTGGGTAGGTATGCTGGGCGAACAGCTAGGCTAGTCGTCACGCAAGTGCTTGTCGATAGCTTTGGGCTGGCGGACTACTCGTCTCGTACATCCGCTGTAGGAACCGTAAGTTCTGGCACAACGTGAATGGTCAGTTGGGTGGAATTTTCGACGCGCCTGCAGCAGGCGGGAGTGACTTTATGGCACCGTCGCTGCACAAGGTGCAGCCGCGCAGGTGTCAGCACCGACCGCGCATCTGATGGAACATGTTCGATTATGCGCCGCGGGTATTTTAAATCCGAGTTACTGACCTATGACATTTCGCCCAGGATGCCAGGTTTTCTGTGGTGAGCGAATCACTGTCTCCAGAAGTATGTGGCTGTGTATGTGGCGAGAGATGTGGCTGGGTCGGTACGCGTTGAGAAAGGACGAAGGTAACCACATTTTCACATTCTTCATACCTACTCGACGTCTTTTTCGCAGTGAAGCAGCAAGGTTGAAGACACGAGCATCCGCAATTCTCGACTTACCCAAAAGGATGCTCATGGGAGACCTGTCGAGGCGAGCTCTCTACACGAATATTGCTCCTCTCATGCGTACTAGTGTGTATAATTACACATTTTAGTTTCAGCGTACGGAGAGAGACGATGCTGGACTGTTGCATCTCGTTAGACTTGGATCCAGATTTGAGCAGCCACGTTGCTACGTACGAGTGTAGGATGATCTTAGGACTGCCATTTAGGTACTATGGTCGCTTACCTTTAGGCATCAAGAAAAAGGAGAAATGAAGGAAGCAAAGTCGTGTACTTCTTCCTCGGCCGCCTTCGAATGATCAAATCTGGCGATCACATAGATTACCTATGTTTGCCAGATTCGCAGAGGCTCTAAAGGAGTCGATTAGACGGCAGCTATCTCTGCTGATGTTGCTCTGTCTCTCGAAAGTACTGTGTGTTGTACAGCTACCAGAGGACTGATTCTTGCTCCGGGAGACTATTCACGTTTCTCTATCGAGAACAGACCAGAGATTATACTCTTGACTTGGTGCTTTCTTCTTCTCGCAGCCGCTGGTTTGTCGCTGTAGCTTCATGATGGTCCCCATATAGCAGCAACATCGCAGTCTCTAGGTATTTTTGAATGATTCGTATGAGGAGCAAGACACAGATTATATGACTACACTGCAGAATATTTGTGACCGCAGATAATCATCCGCTCAGAGTCGAAAACAATGATTATCCGATGCAATATCATACCAGGGCCTTGAAAAAGAGGTGCGTCATTACCTGAGCGGGGTGGGTCCGATCACCAAAGCAAACCGTGGCCGCAATATTCACCAATTGATGCACAACTTCTCTCTCAAGCTAAACTTCTAGCATTTCAATGTTCATATGCCCGATCCCTACGTTCACCTTGGAACTGTTTGCTGGAGATCTGGTGGTGAAGCGGAGGGGAAAGGCAGCGGCTCATCTACCATCTTGCATGTCAATCAGCCCCGCAATTGGAAGGTAGCAAGATAGGCCTGCCCTCCGCCGACTCTCAGCCTTGATGTTGTCAAACGTCAGAATATATGAAATGCTCCAGGCTTCGGCCGAGCTGGAAATATCTATCTATGTGTGCAGTGTCAGCTTACAAACTTGCCTTCCTCTTTGCAACATTTCCTCACATCAACAGTCGACTCTCAACAACCAGCAATTATGGCACCTGACTGGAAGCAGATAGCTGCTGAGAAACGCGACTCCGTTCTTGCTCTTATACCTGAGGAATGGCGTATTCCTACGCCACCATCTGCGGAAGAGCAAAGAGATGTCACTGGCAAATTCGTCCAGCAGTATCTGGATCCCAAAGAGATCGAGATCACCGAGACAGAAGCTGTTGAGATTGTCAAGAAGACTAGTAGTGGCGAATGGACTGCTGTTGAAGTCACAAAGGCTTTCTGTCATCGCAGTGCAATTGCTCATCAACTGGTGAGTTGAATGTGTCGATTTCCACGCTTGTAGACCCAAAAGTGCTGACTGCTCGCAGNNGTGAACTGCCTCCATGAGATCTTCTATGACGCTGCAATCGAGTCTGCTCAGAAACTTGACCACTACCTTGCAAACCACAAAAAGCCAATTGGACCTCTTCACGGCTTGCCTGTATCGCTCAAGGACCAGTTCCACGTCAAGGGAGTTGAGACTCATATGGGCTACGTTGGATGGATTGGTACTTTCCAAGGCGAGAAGGGGACAGGTAAGGAGAAGGTGTACGAATCTGAGATGGTCAAGGAACTACGCAACTTAGGCGCTGTACTGTTCGTGAAAACGGCCGTGCCGCACACACTGATGTGTGGCGAAACGACCAACAACATCATCGATTATTGCTGGAATCCCACGAACAGAAATCTAAGTGCTGGTGGTAGCTCTGGTGGTGAGGGTGCCCTCATTTCGCTGAGGGGTAGCCCTCTTGGCTGGGGTACCGACATTGGCGGAAGTATCAGAATCCCTGCTGCGTTCAATGGCCTCTTTGGCTTGAGACCAAGTGCCGGCAGGATGCCTTATGAAGGAATGGCCAACTCGTTCGATGGCGCCCCCAGTATTCTGAGCGTTGTTGGACCTTTGTCGTCGTCATCTGCTGGTCTCAAATTGGCTGTGCAGTCTATTCTGCAGACTGAACCGTGGCAGCACGACCCACGTGTACACCCAATACCTTGGAGGACTGGGCAAGAGGAGGCGGTCAAAAAGCTAGCACAGGAGAAAAAGCTCACGTTTGCGGTCTTGAGACATGATGGACTCTGCGCCNCCCATCCTCCAATCAAGAGAGCTCTTGACGAAACTGTCCAAAAATTGGAATCTCTCGGTCATAAGATCATTGAGTGGCAGCCGCCCAGCCATGGTAAGCTCGAAGATATCTGCACAAAGTCTTGGAACTACGATGGAGGAGCAGACGCTGCGAAGGCCTTTGCTCTCAGTGGAGAAGATCCCAAGCCCAACATCATGTTCGAACAGTCATCTCAAGCCGATGCTACGGAGATCATGCGTAACCAAGTCAACAAGAGAGACGCCGAGAAGGAATACATGGAGTATTGGAACTCGACGAGCGAGTTGACAGGCACTGGTCGTCCGGTGGATGCTATCATCAGTCCGCTCGCGCCCTTCACCGCAGCTCGTCCGAACAAATACACCTCATACAGCTACTCGGTGTGGGTCAATGTTCTCGACTATACTTCTGTGGTCGTACCAATTACCAAGGTCGACAAGAAGGTGGACAAGGCATATACCGATTTCAAGCCCGTGTCGGAGACGGATGAGAAGACACAAGCAACTTGTAAGTTGTATGATATGACTTTCCAGCCTCTTTGCTAACGCTGTGTAGATGACCCAGAGATTTATGACGGAGCACACGTGTCGCTTCAGATTGTGTGTAGGAGGTTGGAGGAGGAGAAGGCTCTGACGATTTCAGAATATATTTACGAGGCCGTTCATAGTTGAACATATTAGGATGTTCCAACTGTACAGTTGTTTGAATGCAGAGATGAATAAGACTGTTGTTATGCAGGGACTGTTCGTTGGAGAAAACAGTCAGTGAATTTTAAGCTCTTGCCCAATCTGGATCAATCCAGGGCTCAACATGTGATGGTTGCCCGTGATCGGAAAGCTTCATGCCGGGGTGACCGAATTTTGGGCAGGTGCAAAGGACGAGTAGAGGCATGGGAGATATGAATGCAACTCGCACAAGGAAGGAGAAGATCTTGCACAAGATTGAAGCATGTCATGCAGGAGAAAACAAAATCACACGTGGTGGAATGTAAGCAGGTCGGAATCGGGTAGTTGGACTTGTCGGCAAGAAGCGTTTCTCGGTTGCGAAAAGGCTGGGCGTCGAGCAGCTCAGTAACTTTAAAGACTTAACCTGACCTCGTACTGTCACGTCGCTGGGGTGTGGCATGGAAACATTGAGGAAAGTCTAGGATTGCAAAATGCTCGAGGACATCTAAAGACGTCGAATGACAGCTCTTGGATTGCACCACCGCCTCGACTCGACCCACGACTGAGCAGAAAAAACCATGGCAGAAGCGTCGAGCCAGACGCCGGCCACGGTGTCGACTCCCTCGTCGTCGGCCGCCGGCACCGTCACAGGGCCCCAGCCCTCTGTATCGCACGACCACTCGGTCAATGGCAGCCAGCACGACGGAGACAACAGCTTGGACTCGTCGACCAAGGCCCCCAAGGACCGCAGCTGCCCGTTCTGCAACCAAGCCTTTACCTCTTCCTCCCTCGGCCGCCATCTGGATCTCTACATTAAGCCCAAGGTGAGCGGCCGCGTACCGTATGCTGTGCCTGATGGAGCGCCTGCTAACTCGATGGCCGCAGNNAATCCCAAGCCGGCCGATGGCATCCACGACGTCGAAAAGATCAAGGTCATGCGAGGCGGCATCACGAGACGCCAGCCGAGAAACAGTCTGAGGGCCAGTGCAAACAACAACAGCAGGCTTCAACACGACGAAGATGCCGCCAGCGACCGCGGCACCCCGACCGGCCAGTGGGGTCGTCGGATGACCATTTCGTCCCAGGACACAGCTGGCGGCGCCTCGAGCGCCATGGGCGTCAGCCCCGTCAACCTGCGCGACCCCCGTTTCGGCCTCAACACTGCAACCTGGCAGGGTACTGGCGTTATCAACAACCTACCGCCGCGCATGTCCGATGTCTCGTCGGCCAACATGAGCCCTGCCCTGCAGCGCTCCTCGCAACNNAAAAAGACCAGGAATCTCAGGACAATGCAAAGGCTGCCGAGTTGGCTCTGCGTGAACTTCTCGACAGTCTCGAGGCTGCCAGGTACTCTTTTCGCTTTTTCGCTTTTTTTCTCCTCTCAATGCTGACCCTCTGCCTGCAGACGCCGAGTCTCGCACCAGGATGTTTTCAACTTCGACTTTTGCTCCATGAACTTCCCCTCGCTCTGTCTGCACGCGCTTCCCGCTCCCCAAACCCTCTTCTCCATGACGCCTTTTGCTAGCAGTGACTCGTGGTCCCTCGACGTTCCCTCGGATGCCCAGCTCGATGCCCTCCAACGCCAGATCACACAACGTGTTCAACAGAAGCCCACGCCCACTCCTGAAAAAGATGTCCGCAGATTACAGATGCATCTACAAGCTGCCTGGAACAATTGGTCTCCCCTATCAGACAAAGATAAAAGCTCAACTTGGGGCATTGAGATTTTGCGTGCCTTTGCTCGTGCCGATCAGCGCTCAAAAGAGAAGGAGGAGGAATTGGTCAAAGCACAACAAGAGATCGCCCAGCTCAAGGAGCAGTTTGCTCGAATGAGCAACCTCCAATTGCCCCGCGAGTTCATGCTGCAGCCGCCCGTCTCTCTACCCCTCGACCCTGCCATCGTCTCGGATATGTTGACCAAGGACCAATCTCGCGACTGGGACTACGACCGTATGATTGGCAGATGGAGGGGCGCTGTTAAGGCCGGCAAGCTTGGAGGTGCTGCCGTCAGCCTACAACCTACGCCAAATGAACAAACTGCTATCTCGACTCCATCGGGTCATTCTACTGCCCTGGCAAGAAATACCCACCCCGCTGCTGCTCAGCTGCCTACAACCTCTCCTTACGATACAAGAGTCAACCAAACTCCTCTCCAGAACGGACATGCATCTGCCCATGGACCCGCCTCTCGTCAACTCGGCGCCCACCAGATTGACGACGACGAAGATGCTGACGCTGATGCCGACGCCGATGCTGATGCAGACGCTGACGCTGATGCAGATGCAGACGCTGATGCCGACGGCGAAGATGCCCCAATGGGCAACGCACCGCACTGGGGCTCTCACCCTCAGCACAGCTTCGGTAGCGACACCCACATGGGTGGCATGACCAACGCTAACGGCAAGCGTCCCCTTCCTCCCTTCGATCGTTCCAACTCCAAGAACGCGAAGATGTACCATGATAGCCCTCTTCCTTCCGACACCGATGTCTTTGGGACCCGTGCCGTCGGTCAGGTTTAGAAAACGCCGGATCACGCTGCACACGACGATTAAGCACCATCCAATTCTGGTCTGCCACAAGCCCCTGTGGCAGTGTCGCTGTACAGGGTTCCTTCCATGGAGCCATTTGGTGTATTTTTCGTAACCTTCTTCTTTTCTGTTTCCACTCACGTTTATATTCCCCCAAATGTCTTGTTTTCGTCAGAAGCAGCACGACGTTTCTTTCTCCATATGAAGAAAAATAACGCATGTGTTGCGGATGCACAGGAGAGATGTCATTGTTAACGAGTTTTCGTCATTGTTCTTTTCTTTTCCATCTGACACGCCATGCAGTATTAACGAGAAACTTGAAAAAATGCCCACCACGCCACACCACTCTTCCTTTTTTTTCTTTTACCTTCATTGCTATTCCAGATCCATTTGCTTTCTAGGCTGTTGTTGTGGTCTTTTAGCACCACCACCCAGATTGTTGCCTTGCTTGTTTTCTGCTATGCGAAGATATCAATTGTGTTGGGAGGAAAATTTACCCTTTCGAAATGCCCCATTCTTCACGATTTTGGTGATGAAAAAGATTGTTTATTTTGCGTATGCGGCAAGAGTTGAGCCTAACTAATTCTTAAGGCTTGCTCTTTGTGTTTTTCAAAGAGGAAGGGGTATCTACATTTATATGTCTTGTTCTCATTTGAATATGCCATAAATGCATGCCATTCTTCTATCATGTCTTGTGTGCGTCCTCGGTGTGTGTCTTTACGTGTATGTCTCTTGACCTTCGTTGTCACTCCTCTCCTATCCTCGCGTGTCCATGCCCTCGTTGCTCTTCTCAAATGGTATATTGCTGAAAGGGGAACAAAAAAAAAAGAAAGAAACCAAAAATGCTCCCCATAGACGCCATCGTGATGCTCTCCTTTAACCGGTATCGCTTTCATCAAACTCTCGGTTCATATCATATCATATCCTCCTCATGTCTTTCGAGCAAACCACCTTAGTGTGCACTCTCTTCATCATCGGTATAACTGCCGCCGCCTCCACGACGAGGAAATCCGTTTTGGATCCACCAGATGAGGAAGCCGAGGAGGGTCAAGAGGATAAAGAGGACGATGATGATGACGGCGATGACGATGTTGCGTTGCATGATTGCGGGTTTTTGTGCGGGTTGTTGTACAGTAGCTCGAGGAGTGGTGGTGAGGGGGTCTTGGATATCGGTTTTGGAGGAGGGTTGAAGTGATTGATGGCCAGATGGTGTGGATTGATGGAACGAGAGATGCGTTTCCAGAAGTTTGATGATTCGTGGATCTCGTAGAGCTTGTATGCAAAAGAAATGCTCCACGGTGTACGCGCTTGATAAAACTGCAAGATGGCAGATGAGGACAAGAAATAAGTTCGTGATACCCGTTAGATGAGTTTCTCTCAACGCAACGGTCAAAACGGAAAACTCAACAGCGTTGATGCATGTTTATGTGTGGATACTTCAGCGGTGGTTGGTATGGCTGGCGTGGCGTGGCTGGAGGGCTAGGGATTTGCGCTGCATGGACGCAATCAAAAAGTCCTGATACCTGCAGTCTGCCTTGTTTTCTTGATTTTCATGATTTTCGATTGCAGACATGGTTATTGGTTCACGTTATGAAGCTATGATATAGGCAAGCGAATCGAAAGAGTGCCTTGCTGATGCAGGTGTCTGGTGTTGAGGTGACAACGCAAAGTTGGGATTTTGTTGGTTTGAGATTGATGTCTGTCGCGACTGCTTGCATGCTAGCATGGAATTGCTTATTGGCATTTGCTCTTGTCAATCGTCCTGGAGATCCTTTTTCACACTCCGAGTATGAAGTCTCTCTTTAGTATATACTGTGTCAACACCATCTTTGCTCTGCCTATTTTGACAATTTTTCTTCCCATTTGTTTACTCGAAATCTGCAGCAACGAATAATGCATGTGAAAAATGCGGGGGGCGGGAAAGCGTGGCTATTTAGCCGGACATGCATGGCTTGGCAGGGTCGAGGTTTGATGGGGGGAACTGTGTCCATGCTCTGAAGAACTCCTTTTGTTTGCATGGATGCATAAGTCTGTCACATACTTGCATTAGTTGTGTTTTACGGTGATGCATATCAGTGTGGTGGGCTATATCAACACAGTCATATTGACGCCTCAGATGAAACCACTAAGAGCAATCAAGACAACGTATATCCGTATGTGTCACATCTTAATACTACAGCAGTATCATGTACTTGGGCTAGGTGTAATATGACTGCTGACTGTAGCACTCGGGAAGCCCTCGAGCGAAGGATCTCCAAATACGCAGGAGCCCACTTGGATCCACTCGCTCGGCTCTCCAGGCATCAGAATTAAAAACATGGAGAGCGAGCAAAATAGGAATATAGTATAGAGTCACCGTGGTAATTTCAAGGCACCAACTTCAGCACAAGCATTCAAAGTTGTTGATATAAAGACTGAACGAACGACAACAAGGTTGACTTGGACTTTTTGCATCATACTGCCATATCAATTCGCAACGAGGCATCAACTAAACAAAAACTGCATTTTCATTATGAAATTGACCACCATCACCAGCAGCCTATTGGCCTTCTGCACTCTTGGCCAAGCCGCTCTCAATCTCACCTATATCCCCGAAACCGACCCCCAGGGCAGAGTAGTGCTGGGCGAGAATGTCAGAATCGCCTGGGAAAGCGATAGAACCTATGTTTGTCTACAGTCTCTCCCAACTACAACGATATACTGATGATGGTTTACTTAGGATCTCCACCTGGAAATGGTCAAGAAACTGGGCGACAAGAAGCATTGGCCCAGCGGCTGGCGACTCATCGAGACCATGTTCATGAAACTAAGATTGAATGAAGGCAAGGGCGAATACCTCTATAATATTCCAGTGGGAAAGGGGCAACGAACAAGTGTGGGTATCAAGGATGGCGAGTAAGTTGGCACCCAAGTCGTTGAGTCTTGAAAAATCATGAAGGCTGATATAAGGTGTTTATAGANNCTATGTTCCTTTGTGCTTACCGGTACGGAAATTGACGGCAGTGGTCTACAATATGTCAACCACACTACTTGGTTCTCGGTCATCAAGAATGAGATTGCTCCAAAAGACGGGTTCAAGGAGCAGACATTCTCGGCTTGAGTCGGTGTTGAGGCAGCTTACATGTCACATACTCTTTCAAGTTTAGACGCTTAGGGTCAAAAGTCCAGATTTCCGTTTCAATTACGATATCGAGCTCCAAATGCTCGTGTATATACAGCGTTTTTCATCAAGTTCGTTGCTATGCGGTGACTTCTTTAAGCCTTCGAGTCCTTCACGGGGTCATTCTTGTTAAAGGAGAGCGAAACTCCGTTCACNTGTGATGTTGTCAGCACAAGCCTATGTTGGAAGGGTCCAGGGTACGTACCACAATGACGCTCGTCGGTAGGAGTAGCGTATCCCTCGCCCTTGAAGACGTGACCGAGATGACCGCCACAGTTGGAGCAGACAATCTCGGTACGCTCCATGCCAAAGGTGCGGTCGGTGTGTCTGGTCACAGCACCAGGAACGGCGTCGAAGAAAGCAGGCCAGCCGCAGCCAGACTTGAACTTGTGGTTGGCCTTGTAGAGAGGNGCTTCGCAGCCGGCGCAGGTGTAGACACCCTCGGAGGGCATGTGCTTGTCAAAGTCGCTGCTGTAGGGGGACTCGGTGCCCTTCTCGCGGAGGATGCGGAACTGCTCNTATTACCGTGTTAGTGAGATGCCGCATCGCCACGCCCGAGTGAAGGACATACCAGGACTAAGCTGGGCCTGCCACTCCTCCTTGCCCTTCTGCAATGGGTAGGTCATGTTGTTCGAGGATGAAGAGGTTCCAAAGAAAGCTCCGAGGAAAGGAATGCTAGGAAGACCCAGTTTTGCGGTAGGTCGGAGAGCTGGTCTGAGTGGTGGAGGTGCTACTCGGAAGGTGGCGTTCGAAAAGGCGTAGAGGTTGCGGACGAGTGTTGGAAGAAAACGCATGAATCTTGTGAACTGGCTTCCAAGATGTGATCCAGTATATATTCGAGTACTAGTAGGGTGGCCAATGTCGATTGGAAGAGTGCAGAAACAGAGAGCTACCCATCAATATATCGACGTCATCACCTCGGACCTTTCGGCTTCTGCCGCCACGACCAACACTTTTTGTCTACGGTATCACCCTGTTCGTGACCTCTGTTCGCTCTCTCAGCGACAACATTCACCGAGAGAGGTTGCCTCGACAGTTCTCTGTAGATATGGCTCTAGTCTCAAGACAATCACGTGTTTTGATAGCCTGAATTGTTGCTGTGGATTGCGGTGAGACTGAAAATGGAAGCCAGGTTTGAAACAACCCATTCACCACGCTCGACACTTGCATTTCCAATTGATAAACCCGATCATTCGATGTGAAATCTGAAGCAGTACATAATCACTTTGAATGGTTTGATATTACGTTAGACACAATTAGCTTCCAACTTTCTTTTTGATTTCCTGACTCCGTTCTCCAGATGTCTCCAATGCATATTCCTTTTCCCTTCAGGTCACAATCACGAGATGCCCAAGCCAAGGCCCTGAGTATCTGAAGGACCACTAATGCTCCCACTAGCCACGCTTCCGCCTGTGATGCTGCTGCTGCCAGCAACACTGCTAGCTACACCCGTGCCATCACTGCGACCTCGCTCACGGATACGGCGACCTTCCATTAGGCCACGCAACCCACGTTTCTGCAGTCCAATGACATGACTTTGACCGCCATCCCAGATGTCCTCATCGTCACGGCCACCTTGGCGACTACTCGTGATGCTGTATGCTGAACCGGCTGTGGAGGCCGAGTCTGGAATATCTTCGTCCTCTTCGGCCAGGCTTTCTCCACGCAAAGTCGTACGTGTAGTGCGTCCATTAGCCATCTCGGTATCCACACGCAAAGGATTACGACCGCCAGTGCCGTTGATAGACAAGGATTCAATGCCCGCGAGGCTCTGCACACGAGGCGGGTGTATACTGGTGTTGATGTCTTTAAACACGACACCTTCGCCACCGCCAGCTGCCATGGCTGCAGCGTTGAAGATGGCTGCAGCATTACGCCCATCCAGCGTCTCGTGCAATCGCTCTGTCACTTCTTCAGCCAGACCGTCGATCTCGTAGGGGCGGGCAAGTTGAAGCAGAGAGCAGAATATCTGAGGCGTCGCGAGATGTGATGGTTGTTGAGGCAGTGAACCAGTGTAAAGGTAGTGAATCAGTGCCTGCAGTGCTGGAACCGTGTGAGGAAGATACAATGTCCTTGGGCGTGAATTTGGTGGCAGGTTCCTGACGTCAGCGGGTTCAAGTGTCTGCGCGGTGCCAGTCACGCTGTTGGCCGTAAGGGTTGATCCGTTGGAAGTAAGTGTAGGCGTGATAGTGATGCTAGAGTTGCGTGAAGTCAATGATGTGCCTGGTCTGAGAGTCGCAGTCTCGCCACTCTCGCTGGGACCAGCACTTTCGCGCACAAGCTGGTTGAAGAAAGGACCCCATCTGCGGCCGATGAAACGAGAGTTGACAGGGATCCGAGTGCCATCGATAGCAAGGAAATCCATGTCACAGAGTTCACGCGATTGGATCATCATCTCGCCCAACTCCTCGGCACCACTGTATAGTCTTCTTCCGCCTGCTGAGCCTTCGGAGCCTGGTTGGTATTGCGGAGCGCTGGCTGATACGTAGTCAGAGGTAGGCCAGACCTTTCTGGGATTGTCGTATAATCCAAAGGCCTCGAGCTGAACGACACACATGTTGTTGAAGTTCAACCGCCGGTTATTGTAGTCATCCACGAGGTTCCGCTTGCGGTTTCCAAGGATAATGAAGGAGTTTCTGCGCTCCCAGAGAACACCTCTGTTCCAGCTCCCTTGACTGAATATACTGCTTCCGCTATCGATACGAGCCCAAGTTAAGGATCGAAGATCAAGGGCCCATAGTGAAAACTCCTGCTTGGAAGACGTCAAGAATGTACCAGCAACCACAAAGTTATTACCAATGACACCACCTGTAGGGAATCGGAGTCCAGGGGGTGTCACTGTGCCCTGCATTTGTTTATCGACGAGTGTGCCATCGCGATTGCGGACCTGAAGCTCGAGCTTGACGTCAAGAAAGTTGTAGTTGGTGTAGATGAGCATAGCAGAACCCGAAGAGTTGAGGTCGGTGTCATCGTCCTCGTCGTCCTCGTCATAATCATCTATCGATGCTTCGTGTCCTGCACCAACTTTGGTGCTTTCCATACTGACCAAAGGCGTAACGACAGATCTGTACGCACCGCAGCTTCGACCGCCAATAGGCTTGGTGGAGGTCCACTTCAAGCTGCGTAGATTGAACACACTGATTTGCTCGATGTAGTGGTTGCCGCTGTCCTGGCCACCAACAACAATCATCTCAGCGCCACCTCTTCCGTCGAGTTCCACGCCGATCGAGCCTGAATTTGGTTGGACTCCTGACGGGTTGTGGTGTATAGCGGAAAGGGGTGCGTTGGAGGAAGTAAAGACTGCACCCGAGGGGAGAATGGCTGCGCAGTGGGCATAACGGCCTTGAGGTGCCTCTCCCGTGCTGATTCTTGTCCATGTATGTGAGGGAATATCGTAGACGTGTACGTCAGACATGACGCTAACCTGGGCATCAGGAGACTCGTTCTGGGCCGCTGGGCCACCTTCGGGCGACATACCTCCATAGCATACGAGCTTGTTGTCTCCAAGAGCACACACACTGTGGAAGTATCTCGGAGGTGGAACATCGCCCTTGGTCTCTATCTTGGACCAATGTCTACGAATAAGATCAAGCTCGTAGAGATCCGAGGTCAAAGTAGGGCGAGATTTTGAAATCTTGCGACCTCCAAACACGTACATCTTATCGCCGAGTATTGTGGTTGTAGCGCCTACAAGGGGATGGGGCTCTCTTCCAGTAGTGCGATGTACGTTGCATACCAAGCCAGATAGGTTTGCGTTGGCCGAAGTAGCGCTCGGAGTCTGAGGTGGAATGGGCGAGCCGGCAGCTGAGCGAATGTGATGATCTGAAGCATGGCTCATCACGTCCATCTCTGAGGAAGATTCATAGTCGTCTCGTCTCGACATGCCAGAGTGGTTGCTTGCGACCGAGAGTTGAGCGTTTGAGCCCTTTCTCGAAGTCAGGTGAGATGGTGAGGGTGAGGCGATCAAGTGATCGAGCGTGTTCGTACGATTTGGAGGAGGTGGCTGTGCCATTGTTGCTACAGACGCGCGCACGTCTTGGAAATCGGGATCTTCTGCCGTGTGGAAAGAGCTTGTGGAGAGACTGGGAACTGGTGAGGAAGACCGGGTCAAGTCGACATGTCGTTGCTCTTCGGCGCAATCGGGGGTTATGTCGGAATCAAAGGAGATGGGATCGATGCGATTATTGGGATCCTTGGGTGGTACAAATGATGGTCCCGCAATATCAACCAGTGTGATTGGTCCAACAAATCCAAACTGAGGGCGAGGGTCTTGATAGCATTCAAAGGTGCAGGTTGAGCTAGAAAAGCAGATACTGGGCTCTAAAAACTCAGGTGTTCGCGGTTCGCTGGAGGTGTTTACGATGATCGGGATGTGTCTCGATCTTTGCGGACTGGGCGTACGTTCGCGGAGTGTCAGGTGGGTCGGTTCTGGTAGAAGCAGGCTTCCAGTACAATGTGGAAGAGCGTATGTATTCGACTTGCGAGGTGCTTCGGGTTGGAGGTGATTCTCCTTATGCCTGAACAGGATATTCGAAGCAGTTCTCCTCAATCCTAGCCCCGATTTAGCCCCTGTTGATGCCGACATGTCAGCGATGTATGATCAGAGAAGGACAAGCCCATGTGCTCAAAGACCAGCACAGGTAAGGTAATGCAAGTCGTGCGCTCAGAAATGTGAAAGACAACTAAAAAACCCCAAAGTGATATATCCGGCAAGAAAAAACGATGGCCAGTATAGAATCAGCGAAGTCTGTGTTTTGCGCTCTCTGCATCCTTGCCGGACCATCCATCTTGAATACTCGGTCTGCACATGTCCCAGTTTGTTGCTCGTTTGAAAGAATCCGCAATTCTTTGGCCCTTTGCGCAATCTCATCCCCATTTGATACTTGTACCAATCGACACGAGAACCAAAACAGAAAAGGGTCCAACTCTTTATTGTGTGATTGCGGGTATGGAATGATTCAAACAGAGGAGGTAATGTTGTTGATAGAAGAGAAGAAGATTGAGCCTACCGAGAGAGCGCAATTGCTTGTCGCCGACGAAACACCAGACGGATATCACCAGACGGTTGTTAGAACCAGAAGCGGCTGTACGAGGGGCCTTGTAGAACAACAATTCGACTGTTTGGAGAAAGGGAGGCACGCTGGACGTGTTTCACCCTAGATGTCGGAATTAGCCGTTTGTTCCCAAACGGTACCGTGCAGGTTGTCAAGGCTCCTTGGAAGATCGACTGTCTAGACAAATACAGCTCTATATCTTCTTACAAACAAGAGCTCGTATCGCGAAGTACTTTGACTTGATTCTGGTGTGTCTCTGTTCTATCTCCGAGGCAACTGCTTTGCATTTCTCAAAGACTGCCAAGCATCAACAAATACGGCGGCATCGTATTCCGGAGTTAAGGTCCGCAGTCGACCAAAAACCCATAGCACATTTACACTTCTACTGCTACGGCACAAGTCGATGGTATTTGCTTATGGTGGTAGGTAGACATGAAATTCTTTATATCGTCATATGTATATGTGAGGAACCCTTTTCCTCTTTTGATCAGGAAGAACAGTGGATATCATTCGCTTTTCAAACGCAATAAACCAATCTAGACGTTGGCGCTGGTCTCCTCCTTGGGGAGAGTGGTGAATCTGAGGTACGGCTTGACAATGTTGACCTTGGGGAAGATCTTCTGGGCCTCCTCGGTCTTGATTGAGGGGTGGACGATGACGTCGTCACCTGTATACAGAGTCAGAGATTGATTGTAAGAGATGTAAATCAATGGATGAGTACTAACCAGGAACCCAGTTGATAGGGGTGGTGATTCTGTGCTTGTCACCAGTCTGGAGAGAGTCGACAATACGGAGAACCTCAGCAGTGTTGCGACCAGTGGAAGCAGGGTATGAGAGAATGGTGCGGATGGTCTTCTTGGGGTCGATGATGAAGACGGAACGGATGGTGAAAGCAATGCCCTTGGAATCGACGTTGGTGGCGTCCTGGTGGTCAAGCATGTCGTATGCGAGAGCGACCTGGCGCTCCTTGTCGCCAATAATGGGGAACTTGAGGCTGGAGCCAGAGATCTCGTCAATGTCCTTGATCCAGCCACCGTGGCTGTCGACAGTGTTGGCCGAGAGACCAATGAGCTTGACACCACGCTTAGTGAACTCAGGCTCGAGCTTAGCGAAGGCACCGAGCTCGGTAGTGCAGACGGGGGTGTAGTCCTCGGGGTGAGAGAACAGAATCACCCACTTGTCTCCGATGAACTCGTGGAAGTTGATGGGACTAGAACTGTGTCAGTGTCCGAGGCCAAAAAGTATGCGGCAGTGATGCTTACCCGTTGGTGGTGTCGGCATCGAAGTTGGGGGCAACGCTGCCGAGGCGGAGGGGCTCAGGTCTTTGGGACATGTTGACTGTGATTGAGTGTGTATGGAGGGAATTGAGGAAAGGAAGAGCAGTTTGCAAAGGACAACAGAAGGCGAGCTCGAAGTGGGGTGGAAGTCGAGGGTTATTAATGGCGGGACCCTCACGCCACAGCCACTAGAACTCGCATCATCTGTCTGTGCATAAAGATCCCACTCTTGTCGTTGTTGTCTCGTTCGACTTCTTCCTCCTTCTATGGCTTCTTCTCCGGACAGCTCAGAAATTGACATGACCCTCGACGAAGATATATACCTGCCCCTCCAGTTCCCGGTCTTCCCTACCTTCGAAAGCCTCACTTACCCACCGCCTTGGGGTTTTCATTCTCGAGCACCCCACATACAGCTCAGCAACGAGCTGGAGCGAACTCGGAGAAGCTACCTATTGTTTGCGGAGTGGCTTGAACTTGACCAACTCTGATTGGTCAGAAATGGCGTATAACCCGACCCAAGACATCCAGGTATCGGACCCCACAGGTTCTCAAAGCGCTCGAGTACGGAGACCTGCAAGAACTTCGACGTCTGTGACTTTGTCAACAACGAACATCCAAGGCCTCGCGATGGCTGTTCGGGAGCTTTGTCGCTCAACGACGAGGTAGCATTCACACCATGACTCATTAATGCCTATCTCCTTCGACGCGAAGGTCCCAAGGTTTGGAGTGCCATGAGCAGTGTCCATATCGCCATGGGCCCGAGTACCGAAAATTGATCAAACAGCCATGTCCATAGAGTTGTTCCTCTTGGCATGCGTATCTTTAGCCTGGCACGTTTCGATGCTTTGCTCTGATTGCAGAAGTGACCACAGCAACCAACCGTCAACCATGATTTCAAAGCAAAGACCCAAGGGGAAATGTAGGTACTCGACCTGATGTAAACCTTCATGCGAGATCGGCCGTTCTTCCCGCAATATGCGCGCATCCGCGACTGCTTCGGCATTCGGCAACCACTACGAGGTGGAGTACTCTGCCTTACATCCATTACTTTCGCGCCTCTATTTGCTTGTTATCTCTCACCTCTGACCTGCTCCTGTTTCTCGCACTCGATGAGCAGTATGATCTCTCGCCTGCTCTTGCAACGATGAGTGCAAATCCTGAGATAAACCTATCCCGGCCTACACCAGACTACGCCGATGAGAAAGTTCAACATGACGATTTCAAAAAATCCCCAGATGGATCCACGAATCTATCGCCGGCACATACACAATCCAGCTCGGACGACATTGTCTACCATTATCTAGACTTCGATACGCCAATTCCTCGCCCTTCCTACCTTTCAGCTCCCTACGAACTCCGCACTACACCGCCAGAAGAGCCGGATCTCAAGAAATACGAGTCGCCATTCAAGTGGTCGAAGAGCAGGAAGCAGGCGATAACTTGGCTTTCATGCCTTGCAACAACAGTCACAGCGTATGCCGCTGGCAGCTATACTGCTGGTGATGCACAAATGGAGCAAGAGTGGGGAGTGTCCCGCGTCGCCATTACAGTGGGAGTGACCATCTTCACAACCGGGTTTGCCATCGCACCTATGATCCTGGCTCCATTCTCCGAGATTAATGGACGTCGGCCTATGTTCGTGGTCACTGGTATTCTCTACGTCATCTTCCAGATCTGCTGTGCTGTTACCCGATCGTACGGTGGTATGCTCATTTCGCGCTTCCTCAAAGGTTGTGCATCAAGTACGTTCAGTACGATGGTCGGTGGAGTGATTAGTGACATCTACCATGCCGAGGATCGAAACACTGCCATGGCCCTCTTTTCTGGCGCTGCCCTTTTTGGTACAGGACTGGGACCTCTGGTGTCATCTTTCATAGCCTACTACACAACCTGGAGATGGATCTTTTATCTGCAGGTCATTACTTGCGGAACGGTCCAGATCTTGGTGATCCTGTTCTTCAAAGAATCACGAGGCTCAGTGCTATTGTCTAAAAAGGCCAAATGCCTCAACAAGTATTACGACAAACTTGAAGCCGCAGGTTTTACAGGGGTCGATATGCCCAGCGATACGATTTCGGGCAAGACTTCAGTTCAGAGGATACGCTGGAAAGTAAAGAGCGACGAGGAGCGCGCCAGTCTATTGCAGATGATCAAGATCTCGCTCGTGCGGCCGTTCCATCTACTGTTCACCGAACCCGTCGTCTTCTTCTTCAGTCTGTGGGTTGCGTTTTCGTGGGCCATTCTCTATCTGACCTTCGGCGTACGTATTTGTTAAGCGAGCTTGTTATCTCGTACAAGAACCATGCTAATCGAACCTTTTAGGNCAATTCCCGTCATCTTCACAGCATCACACAACTTCAACCTCTACCAAAACGGCTCAGTGTTTGCCGCCATCAGCATCGCATCCATAATCTCCACCATCATATCCATCTTGGGCGAAAAGTGGACCAAACGCCGCTTCCCTCACCTTGGCGACTCTCCAGAAGGTCGATTATACTTTGCTTGCGCGCAAAGTATCTTATTACCCATTGGTCTTTTCTGGCTCGCCTGGACATCAGGCAGTAATGTGCATTGGATCGTACCCACCCTAGCCATCGGCTGTGCCACAATGGGCATCTTCAGCATCTACCTCGCCGTCTTCAATTACCTGGCTGACACCTATCACCGTTACGCAAGTTCTGCGTTGGCAGCACAGAGTTTCTGCAGGAACATGCTTGGAGGCGCGTTTCCTCTGTTTGTGCCGCAGATGTTTAGGGCCATGACGTTTCAGGGCGCTGGGAGCTTGTTGGGTGGTATTGGTGCCGTGTTGACGTTGGTGCCTTTTGCGCTGTTGATATGGGGCCCGAAGATCAGAGCGAGGAGTAAGTTTGCGAGTGAGATTATGGATAAATGATTTGGGGTATGGTAGAATAACTTTTAGACTGATGGATGAACGAACGACTGAATGAATGAATGTACACTCTCTCCTGATATCATATGTTCCTTCTCTGTCCCAACAAGTTTGTTCACCTCACAGTATGCCGAAATATGTCATGATGTTGTGTTTCACATGTCTCTCTTAGCAGGATACAGCAGTCACAGAACAGAGGACAATCAGAAAAGGGTCAAAGAACAAGTGGCGTTCGAAGAAATAAAATTGCAACGTTTCCCCTATAGTCCTCGCAAACGCTATGAGAAAGACCGCTCCAAGTGGAGGAGCAAAAGAAACCAGAAACCAAGACGCCACTCTGCATATCATCGTAAACACTCGAGAATCAAACAAAAGCCTGGTGATTTTGGAGTAGAAAGAAGTAGACAATCTATCCTTCACCATTGGAAATGGCGCACAAGACAGCAGTCAGGTGGTCTTTGAGAGTAGGATTGTGTGCCATGGCGAAGAAGAGCTTCTCTCTGATAGGGTCGAAGATCTTCTTCATCAGCTCGGCTGATGGTGGGGCAGGCGACTCGGGCATAGCGACAGCAAGCTCGTCGTCTTCACCTTCGCGATGAGGCTGATCGTCATCATCGGCGGGGTGTGCCTTTTCTTCGACGGCAGCAGCGGTTGCGGCTGCTCCATTCGCGCTGGGTGCCATCTTACGGACACCACGAGCAATGTTCCGCAACACGAGTGCAGAGCCCAGAGGCAGGCCGGCAGCGTCGTTACGTTCGTCTGCCATTGTGCGGTGCCAGACGCGGTTGCTGGGAACGGGCTCTTCGACATCCTTCGAGTTGTGCTCGTTTTGTCGTCTTTGCTCGGCCAGTAGGCTGCCGTCTGGCAGATGGGTGTTGATGTGGCGAGCCAACAGTGCAAGGCCGACAGGCAAGTTGTATTCACCAGAAATCTGGCGAGAACAGCTGCTCCATTTGCAACTATACGACAAAGAAGAATCTGCTGCAGCGAAGTCGAAAGCAGCGGCCTTCGAAGTGCTCTGGGGTGGTTGTGAAGCATCACCGTTGACAGTTGTCGGTGCCTTCTTCGGAACCTTCAGGTGAGAAGATAGGATGTGTTCCCAGAGCTTTGGACCGCTGGAAAAGAACTCGCCACACTCCTTGCCGTTCTCGTTGGCAAAGATGGCGATGTGTTCCTGGGCGACGTCTGTGGGATCAGTGCGCCAGCAGCACTTGACGAGATCCTTGCCGTCAATATCGTGAGCGATCTTGCGGGGTCTTATGCCTTTGATCACGTATTTGGAATTTGCGACTTGAGCAGATGCACCAGTGAATGTGTTTGAGACATTCTTGATAAACTCCCCCNNTGCTATGAGGTTTCCATGGGTTGGCTGGTGTTTGAGGAATGTGGCTTGGTAGGACTGCCAAAGGTGGATCTGGGTCATTTCAGAGTCTGGGTCTGTTTCGAAGCACATACGCAACNNCTATATTGATTAGATCCTGTCCAAATATGCATCGTTGGAAGTCACTTACCAGCGTGAACTACGGTCGGGTTCGGCAAATTGCAGCAGTGACTCTATCACATCATGACACAGGCGTGGAACATGAGCTGAGCTTTCCGAGTCATAATGAGGCTCTGAAGGGCGAGGCTTGTGCATCTTAGGCACTTCCTTCTTTGCGTTGTAGAGCAACAGATCAGATAGCTGCTTGACGAGACTCTGAACATCGGCATCCAGCGCCAGTGTCTCGACATTGTCAGCGATACTAGTGTATTGGAAGAGGAAGTCCAAGCATGCAGAACGCAGCTCCTCATCGGGGAGCATCATCCAATCCGGTAGCTTTTGAACAATCTCAAGAGGAACGAGCTCGAGTCGTTTGTTTTCCTCGTAAGCCATGCCAAGTCGAGCGATAGCACGCAATGAGGTGACAATTCTGCCACGGTCGTTGGATTCCAGCTGAGCAAGCAGAGTTTCGTACAAGAGATCGGTCGCGTCGAGGTCGTAGTGCTTTGTGAGCTGTTCAATGGTCTCGAGAGCGTAGTACTGTAGCTCTACTATAGCGGAATGTGGTTGCAAGTTGAGTACGATACAGAAGTAGTCGCGCAGAAGAGGCAGCTTGGCAATGTATTGAGCGTTCTCGTCCAACATGACCATGTTGCGAATGACAAGACCGGCCTCAGTGATGCGGCCCAGGGCCTGTCTGAACTCTGTGGTCTCGACAGAGTGAGCAGTGTCCAAGAGAACAGCAGACTGCAGCTTCTGCAGAATATCAGGCGTGCCGTTGATTGCGTCCAGAATGCGCGGGCCAGAAGCTTCGTCATAAGAGATGACCCACTCAAGGTCGTAGAAGAGAGAGGTTACCTGCAAGAGCTTGTTGACTAGAGCCTCGGCCAGACCGGCGAACTGATCGAAGCGGTACTTATCGCCTCGCTCGTGGGAGATCTTAACAAGATGGTGCAAGGCATACTCTTCCTCGTCGGGCTGACCGGACTGCAGAGCTAGCTGAGCGCGGACATAGATGTTTGGGCCGATAAAGCCAGTGCCTGGCAGCATGAGACCTCTGTGTTTTTTTNNTGCAACATGGCTGGCCTGTGCCTCTTGTTCCAGCTTGCGCTTGATGCGGTAGTGCTCAGAGTTGTTGGCTGGGGTTGTGACGGGCTTGAGCGTCAAGGGCAGCTGCTGCTGCGGTTCGTAGGTCGCCAAAGTCATGGGAGTGGTATTGGCGTAAGCAGGCGATGGTGAGGCGGGAGTCTGCGAGGTGTGTTGACCCTGGTTGCGGGTTTGACGTGGGGCGGTCGTGTCGGGTTGGAAAAGAACGCGCTGCGGCGGCGCATGGCGCAAGCCCCTGGTCGACCGCACGCTCCCGGGCTCGCCGTCATCATGGGTATCCTTGGCGGCGTCCTCGTTGTCAGACGAATTGCCGTTGGCAATGCTCTTGTCTTTCGTGGCCGAGTTTGGGTAATTTTCTAGCGTCCTTGACATGACGTCGCCTCCCTTTGCTGTCACATCTTCGATCACCTCCTTCGGCGGAGGTTCCTTGCCCCAGTGTGTCGATATCTCGTATGCTACCAGGTTGTAGTAGTATGCTCTCTTCACCAGGAAGGCCGCGCCAGCCAGATTCTTGATGCCAGGCATAAGCTCATCGGCAATCTTCCTCCACATGAGAGGCTTTTTCTTGGTGTCCGACACCAGGTCATATCCGCCCTCCGCGACGACTCGTTTGTACAACTTCAGCAAGTCGATGTGCTGCGTCTCGACTTTCGGCTCATTCTCCATTGTGGTTCTGCGCATTGCGTTAGAACCGCTTCTGTTCTGCTTTCCGCCGGCTGCTTGCTGGGATACCTACCCTCTCTTCTCATGATACACAGCCAACTCCTTCAAGAAGTTCTCGTACTCCTCGGTTTTCTCAATCGAGGATTCATGGTCAGCCCGCTGGCCGACTTTCTTTGGAGGCATGATGCCGGGTCGTCTGGGTCCTAGAGAGACCGTCTATCGTATCGCTGTCTCGGAGCAAAATTCGGGTCGCTGAAGATATCAGATGGTGCACATTAGAGCTCGGCGCAATGATGGATGCTCTTTCGCGACGCGTCCAGTTACAGCTTCCTTGCGTCGACTTGCGCGCTGTCGCTGATCGGCCCTCCACACTCGCACGCCCGACTTGGCACTCCTCGGTAATAGCACGTTAGCACTTATCATATCCCCGAGCTTCAACTTCCTTCCTCCTCGCTCATGTGCTCGAGATGCAACCAGTGAGAGCATACAGATGTCGTCTCTCAATGAACATTGCACTGTTATTCAACAATACGGTGCATCTTCATAGCTATACAATCTGTGGGTTGGGGGGACGACCAGGTGTGGGTTCTCCTGCGTGTTGCAAGCACCTTCCCTAACTTGGTCCTTCGTCCCTTCCCCTTCATGTCGAGCTTCAATGTCTGTTTGGGCCTCCATCGCGCGCACATGCAAGACACGGAAGCTTCAGGCTTACATAAGGGGATGCTTCCTTCCAGTATTTTGTGAAATGGCAGAATATCGTCCTCTCGTTATGATCCGCCGAAAAGGTATTGAACTATAGTTCTTCGATCCGCAAGTTTCCGTCTCCTCTGTTGTGTCGGCCAGTCGAATATGGCAAGTCAAAACGTTCTTTTCGGACGTTCCTTACTATGTCACTCTATCCTGAAATTCTCGCACTCTACTCTTCCTCGCCATGCAAGTCCTTCAGGCTGGAATCACATCCAAGCGCCTGATATCTTTGCTCTCGTTGAACAGCTCGACCATGACGGCATACAGCTCAGAATCGTCCAAGGTACCAATGATCTGGTAAGTCGCTTCTCATATGCATGGCTCTCTCCAGTGCTCACGAGAAGTCTTAGGNAGGTTCTCCCACTCACGGCCATCATCCAAGAGACTAGAGACTTGCATAAGAGACAGCCGAAGCAGTCACCAGACAATCTGCCCATCTTTGGTCTGACTAAGGGTACTGCAATGGCTGTTCGCTATTTCTGCCAGAATAATCAGGTAAGTAACATCATCACCTTAGATTCTCTTGAAAGGTCACATGTCAACATCGTCCNNCAGGTCAGACGTATTCAGTTGCGCTTCACTGATGAAGCCTCCTGCAATGAAGCTGTACAGCTGCTCTCTGGTCACGGACTCATGTTCTCAATGCCGCCGGCCAAGCAGAACACCCAGTCTCAAGCTCGTCCTATGACAGCTAACTCATACATGAATCGTCAACCCTCTATGCAGTCCGCTCGCTTCGATCGTGAGACTTCCTCGATCATCGTTCCGACAATCCAAGGTACGACGGTCGGGCTTTGCACTAATGAGACTCGACACTGACGAAGGTAGATGCTTTTCCATCGACCTCCTNCATATGCTCAGCAACAGTCGAGTCAGCACGACAACGACTCAACCAACCTGCACATGCTCACTTCATCGCCGGGTCCAAAAGTGTATCAAACCACAAGTATCGAAAGACAACCTTCCGTCAATTCAGACGAGCTGTCCCGCATGCATATGTTCACCTCTTCACCAGGATCAAAGGAGTATGAGACTCGGGGCATTCAAAGACAGCCAACGTTTGGTCCAATCCGCACGAGCGAAGAGCCAACAGAAAGGCCTTCGACTGCGCCGATTCAGTGGCCATCAGACATGGCCAGGGCAATGCTACCTCCTCGTAGAGAACTTCCTTTCCCCAAACCGTCTAGCAGTCCCGCAAAGACCAAGATGCTGCCACCTCTTCCGAAGCCAAGTTATGCTTCAGAGGCTGCGAAGTCGGAAAAGTCAATAAAAGAGGAAAGTCGAAGTAGTATGTCGCCAGAGAAGAAGATCAACCCGGGTATCACACGACTCGCCACTCCTCGAGGACCTACAAGATTCGAGCCTCCATCCTCACGGATGTACAACTTTCAGCCGAGCGATGACTCTATGACTATGGTCAATGAAAGTCCCGGGTACAGAGGTATTGATATTCCAAGCGGCACTATAGCTCGTGAGCGCGACCAAGGGTTTGTCGCAGATACAGATCNNAACGCTACCGTAGCAGCGTAAGTCCCGTCCACTTCGCCAGCTCCAGTCCGAAAGATAAGTCACTCCCAAGCCCAGAAAGCCCCCTGTGTTCGAGCCCTGGGCAGATGACATCTTCCAGTCCATCGGAAAGACGTAGCCAACGTCTCGCTCAGAAGCACATTCTTTGNNGCATCCAGAGATTGATGATGTCNNGAGATGACAGGACATTCGCCGCAGCGAAATGTTCAGCAGAGTCCGGGAATGCAAGATGTAGAAATGGCAACAACAGACCTGCCGCAGCAAGAGGCACAGGATGCGCTGAGGCAATATGCAGAACAGTCCAACGAGACTCGTGCAAAGGCAATCGAACAATTCATTCTGGCCAATCTCGAGGATGATGCTTTCCTCAAACTTTGTGTTGATGTGGAGGCATGTTGGCAGCGTCAAGTACTGGATAGGCGTCTTTGATACTGACCACCGCCATCTTAATTGATTGCTTGGAGGACCTGGGTATGTTTTGTGATGCATAAATACATATATATACTACTGATTAAGGAGACGGATGGAACACACATGAAGATTTTGCTAATTGCTACAAAGACAAGAAGAGACTGCTCATGAATAGTTGTTAGTCCTAACTATAGCTATATCGAAGTCTTTCTATGACCAAAAGAATAGTATCGAGTTTCGCATTTGACCTGCTTGTGCTAGAAGAAGAAATCTAACGTACGGTTTGGATATGGCATTACACGCTATACCATATCCAAGTATCCTTGGTTCATCCTCCACTTTTCTTCTCAGACCCCATTTTCAAGTCTCGAGTCATCTTTAATATAACTTTCATAACGCACTGCTCCAAGCACACACACATTCTTGTTCCCAACCAACTCCCTTGAAGAAATGCAATACTACATCTATTCCAGTACATCCGGTTTCCTCCTATTCTTCTCATACCCTTTCTATCGTGGCTACGCCGCTGACTGTCTCTTCTGGCTGACATCCCAGAGTCTCTGAAGTTATACGACGAGCAGAAGTCCAACCGACCTCCTATAATTCAATGAGAAATGGTTTACAATCACGATTGCCAACATCAAAGACTGAACTACTGGTGGGAGGACTAGCCTCAGGTCACCAATTTTTGTCCCATGTCTGTACTCTCCCGCAGACTCACTGACAAAGAAAAAAAGCAGATTATCGCAATACACAGTACTTTCCTTGAACACTAGAGACATCCACTGAAGCAGAGCGTATCTCTAAGCTCTCAATGGACAATACCAAATATTGGAGACTATCGTGCATCTCCAAGAAGTAGAGTGGATACGTATCATGTCCCTGCAAGGAGGATCCAAGTAAAAATCCCTGCGTCCGAGATGTCATGTAATTGTAGTATGTAGCCCAACCTTCTACTTGGAGACAAACATACCCTGGCCCAAAGCGGTAAGATAACCATACCTCGTCAACATGGTAGGGTCAAACTTGCCCGGCCTCCCATTCTCTCCCGCCACACTGGTAGCAGCAACATTTCCTTGCGCCGAGCTAGGGGTCAATGTCCCATTGCCGCCCTCCCCAGCGTGAGCGTGCGCCAAATGCTGCAATCCCGGCGGCAATTGTTCAATCCCACCGAGGATCGACTGCAACTTATTCCTCTTCTGCACAATCAAGTCTCTGATTGCTGAATCCCAGCCCGTAGACTTTTCGTGGCCGGCGAGACCGCGACCGAAGCCCAAGGCTTCCGAGATTTGCTCGAGGCCTCTGATGGCTTCCGAGCGTGTCTTTTCTATGTCTACGAGTTCGCAGAGGGTCATTGCTGCTAAAGCTGCAAAGTGGTGGTTTAATGGTGTGATGGGGGTTTGACGTTGGTTCAGCACTGTGGCCACTTTGACTGCGTGGCCTATCAACTCTGTGGGTTCGGTTGTAGGGTTTAGTCGTTTAATAAGGAGGTGACAGTGGTGGTAGGAGAGATGGACCAGGTTCAATGAGCCCCAAACACTTTCTACAGACTCACGGAAGCGGTCGATTTCGCCAGCTAATGTCAACCCGAGTAGTGAGGAAGCTGGATTCGAAGGTGCCATGACGTTGGTCTCTGGTGTTTTTGTTGTAGTGAGAATGGCGGCAAGGTGTCCTATGATGAAGGAGAGGCGCGCTAGATGGTATGTTGATTCGCCGAGCAAAATCTGATCTTCAGGTAATAAGACGACACTGTTCTCGGGGAGTTTGAGTAGGTCCGAGGTGCTAGAAGCATGCCAGCGATCGAGGATGAATAGTACCCACCACACCCTTCTTGCTAGTCTTTCTTCAGAGTCCGGATCACCTTCAGTGGCATATCGTTCGCGCGGACGAATCAGATTGATCTCCAATTGTCCTGCAACACCTGCAGCTCTTCCCAACCACTCTGCACGTGAAGGGCCGGCTTGACCCCTGACTGTTGCGGGACCATGGTTGTCGGATTCTAGAGCCATCAACAAGAGGGTTTGCAAGTAGACTAGGTTAGTACCACTGGTGTGCGTGGCTGGGTTCTCGAAAGGATAGCCAGCAAGGAGTTCAGCGGCTCGCTTCATCATGGGCGCATATGTGTGTTGAGGACGAAGCGTTGAGGAGAAGGAGGGGAAGGTGCGCATCGTGCACTCCAGGACGGTCAAGAAGGCTTCTCTTAACGTCAAGGGACACTCGGCCAGGCGCATGCGAAGACGGTGTTTTGAGTGGGGTAATAGCGGAAAGGTCTGGTGTATGGTCCGATAATATTCATCGACTACCTCTTCATCCCACTCAACCAGCGTGGGTACACCTGCCTGCGTGTCGAAAGGGACACTAACGCTCTCGCGACGCCGAGCATCTCCACCGTACTTGAAGAAGGGCTGTGTGTTGACAGGTTGTGGTTGGGGCGTAGGCCTCATGTCTTGACGGTAATTTGGTTGGGCAGGGTACGGGGACGTTCGCGGGTCACGAGAGTATGGGTTTCCATAGGCGTGTAGAGGGGTAGGAGCAGGCTGAGGCTGGGTCGCAAGTTGGGTGGGTTGTGTTGCTGGTGCAAGTCTCGGAGCTAGGACAGGCAGCGGATCCATCTCTGTCGTCTCTGTCTGTGAGCGTCTTCGTTTCTGGCCTGCTTGACGGGGCGGTGAAGCGTAATCTCGTGTGGCATGGGCGGCTTCTGCGAGCAAAGTCTGTAGTTCCTGGTCGACGTGTCCGTGTTGTTGGGGCTGCATCTGGCCCTCGAGAGCGTTCAAGCGCTCAGCGAGCTCCTTGATGTAGCCCTTGCTGGGACCTCGCTTCAGCGGCTGGCGACTGAAAGCGCAGCCTGAGTTGGAGCGCTTGCAATTGGTGCATGTCTCGTGCTCGTTCAAGGCGTCGCAACGGATCTTCTTGCGACGGCACTCGTCGCATGCGCGGCTGACTTTGCTGCGCTTGTCCTTGTTGTTGTCGGCGGCATGTTGACCAGGCGGTGGACTCAGGTGGTGCTCGGGAAAGAGGTCGGGGTTCACGACGTGTTGCGACGGCGATGTGTGTTGCGGCTGCGAGGGGAGCGGGGCTGGTTGAGCATGTTGCTGCTGCTGAGCGTGATGATGCTGCTGTTGTTGCGGGTCGTCGTGTGGTTGCGGCGAGTGTTGGTGCGACGTGTTTGCCGACTCGTGGGTTGAGTGGTTCAGGCCCAGCGACCTGCTCAGTTCGGCGCGGAGGGCCAGGTCATCGTCGACCTCGGGGTGTTGTAGATGGTGCGTGATAGCACTGTTCGACTGGCTGTAGTAGGGCCCTAGAGAGGGGTCGACCACGGTCGGAGATGCGTATGGGCTATGTCCGCTCGCCATCTGCGTAGTGGTATGTTGCTGCGAGATGTGGAGGGGAGAGAGATATACAACGACCATCACACCTTCGATGCCGAGGAGCCCGAACAGGCTCACCCATCATCATACTCATGGCGTTGCAGGACCACGGCTGCAGCAAACGACTGCCGACTCTATTTTTCCGGCCATCATCTCTTTTGCAGTCATCTTGCCCATACCAACTTAATCTCGGATCAATGTTCAGCCATTGCCGAATCTCCTCCAAAAGGCCCCTCTTCATCCTTCATCTTTGCCAGACCGCCAGACCCGCCGTACTGTAATAACCTGAGACCACGCCTGCCCATAATAAAATGACCTGTTCAACACACGCTACATGGACCGAGGAGCCATTGTCTTTAGCCGTTACATGGGATCTAGATTCTGGCTGAGATATCGTCTCAAACAACTGGAATCCATCTTTGTTTCCACTCTCTTTGGACACCCTCCCGCTCTTCAAACCTATCTTGCATTTCTACCGCTGACAATATTACCACTTGCTGCTATGGGAGAGTGACAATCTATGGTTTCGCCATCAACAGCTCTCCCACGCCAACCCGTGGCACTACAGTATACCATAAAAATGCACAGTGTTTTACCAAATTCTTATATTCCCACAGCGACACCCGTACAATGACAACTCTCCTTGGACGTCGCTTTATAATGGGAAGAAGTACGCATCTTTATAATCCACTGTAGTGCCATCCATGCAGTATGAGAGAGACAAAAGTTGGCTAGAGGGATGGAGACCTGGCTGAGTTGTTAAAAGCCTCAACTCGAGGGATCGCTGTCAGCAGACAGACGGGCGATAGCAATTCATGCAACGACGGCCGCTATGAAGCGCGGTGCATAGATTGCAGATACATAGGACGAGCACGGATGAGGGAGGTGCAGGCATGCAGCATCAACTGTGCTGTGCTGCTGCAGCCGTCGGCATTCGCGCGTGCAGGATACGAGGGATACAAGCGCAGTGGTCACTCTCTCACGAACGATCGACGAGCTTGTTCCCCTTGAAGTATGTCGGGGTGGCTGTGAAGTCATGACGAACGGTCAACGGGTCCTGGATAGCGAACACCTTGCCTAGCGCTGGGGTCGGAAGGTGGAGGGGTCGCTGGCGGCAGATTGCGGGTCGCGCTGGCGGTTTGGTATGGACAGGTCGAACAGTTTCAGGACTCCGAGGTGTCGAGTGTCTAGCTCGGCGGCCTGTGCGCCAGAGTCAGATCGCACTTTTAGTATTGGTTTGCTGGCTTGGCGTCGCAGGTGCGGACTCTTCATGCCACAACGACTCTCCGTCTTCTCCTCCTTCACTACTATCGTCGTTCGACAACTGTTTGTTTTGTGGTCCCCCGTATTTGCTCAAAGGCCATTCGAAAGGCCACGACCTTGTCGTGTGCCAAAGGCCGTCCGCTCTGTGCTCTTTTCTCCATCCGCCATCTAGCAGTCTCTCACCGCCGTCGCTCGTCGTTTTGCCATCCACGCCGGCACTCGTCATACCACCGCCGCAAGGACTCGACCGCAACCACCCACCCGCCCCGCTCCTGCATCTCTGGCGTTCTGAAAGACCCTTTTCGCAAAGATACCCTCTATTTTGTGATCTCTCTGTTTACATACCAGCTCCACGCTACTTTCCTTGGTTTATTTCTATCAAAAACACTGCAATAACAAGGCCCAATCCGTCAGGCCGGCCCTGCGACGAACCCCCACCACAAACCGCACCCCGCATCCCTTCGCGATCGACCGACGTCTCCCCGCCGGCCACGCTCTCAATCCGTCAGGTATGGTAGTCAAGGAAGATGGGACCAAGTGGGCATGCCAATCGTGCTTAAAGGGTCACCGTGTCAGCGGCTGCACCCATACAGGTAAGTGGCCGCTCCCCGATGCCGGTATATAAAGTGCACCTCTCATAGACATACCAGACCGCGAGCTCTTCTTTGTCCCCAAGAAGGGCCGCCCCATCACCNAGTGCCCGCACTGTCGCGCCGAACGCAAGAAGCGCTCATCCCATGTCAAATGCGATTGTGGAGACAAACCCCACACCAAAGAGAAATGCATCCATCTGCGCGAGGCTGAAGCCAAAGCTGCTGCCATCGCTGCCGCCAACGAGTCTGGCATACCCATGCCACCCCCTTCGGCCTCTGGAGAACACCACTCGCCCGAACTCTACTCTGTCGCTGAGGAATCCCCCTCGTCTGATGAACATCGTTGTTGCTGCCCTCACGGCGGAAAGTGTATCTGCTCAAGCCTCCTCAAGGAATCGTCCCCTGAAGATGCCAAGGACCACAAGGACCATATCGAAGTCTCGCCCAAGAAGGATGCTGTCAAGGAAACATCGACTGTGCCCAAGAAGTCACTCAGCCAACGCAAGCCACGCCTTACTTCACACCAATCCGAGGGCCACCTGACCGTCTTTGCCAACGGTCACCACAAGCCATGCCACCGCAACAACAATGCTGCCCACGAATCTGGTGCTCCTTACAAGCTGCCTCGCTCGCACACCCAGCCCGTCCCGACTAAGACCAACGCTCGCCGTTCAGTAGACAGCCTTGCTGCAGTCGCCTCGACCCAGCCACATTCTTGGTTCCAGCCGAACATGTCCGCCCATCCATCAAACACCAACTCTGGTCAAGCTTCGCCTGTCTCCGCCATCACCATGCAGGTTGAAGCCATGCAGAAAGACGACAAGCCTCCGGTTGATGCTCAACCTCAGTACCCCCTCGCGACCGTCTCGTCAAGTGTTCCAACCTCCATGTTCGCCGACTTTGGCTTCCCCAGCACCTCTTCCATCGGCACTACCACTACCGAGGCCTCCATGCCATCCTTCTCCTTGCCAAGCTCTGACCTCGGCATGAGCACTGATTTCTGGAACAACTTCGATTGGTCCAAGGTCGACACCACTTCCTTTGATGTCCAGCCTGCTCTGACAAACACTTCTTCTGGCACCATGTCCGAAGTCGACGAGATTCCAGCTACAGAGGAAATCAATACTTTCGACAGCAATCCTTACCAGATGAACATGCAAGGCCTCGTGGGTACCAACGTCAACAACAGCACCAACAACTTCGACCTCGATTTCTCCGTGGCTACTGGACAGTCGAACCGCTGGAGCATGCCCGTTTACTCCAACCCAAACACAAGCAACATAGATCTGGCCTCCATGACTGCCGACACCTTCACAAAGCCCAAGCAGTCTCCTGAACAGTCCATGTCCCTTGGCCAGTTCTCTGGTTTTGACTTGGCCTCTTCTGTTCAGTCTCAATCTCCTGCCCAGTCCAATTTCCAGTGGGACCCGGCCCTTATGGATTATGCTATGGGCAACAACGTTGACAACAGCGCCTCGCTTGCGTACTCGGTAGCAGGTTCTTCTGGTCCCTCGATGGCTCCAACTGCCGCTCCTTCCCCCAAGTTCGGCGCAGACAACTCAAACGTCAACGATCAATTCTTTGACTTCGATAATGGCTCAAAACTCGTCAACTGGAACGACAGCATCATGGTTCCTGCCGGACAAGACTTCCTCAACACGTACAACTACGATCAGAACTTCTCGACAAACGATTTCAACAACCAGGGCTGGTCAAGCTAACACCTGTGGTGTGCCTTCTCAAGGCTCATTGGATCGATTTTGCGCTACTCTTGTCTTTAATGTTCTCGATTAACGATGCTGATGACTCATGGCTTAGAGCCTCTCCTATCGTCTTCCTCCCAAGTATCAGCTTCTAAGTTGTTGTTTGGTCGCAGGTCTTATTTTCTTCTGGGCGATATCCCGATACTATCACTTTATCGTGGTTTCTCGCCCCCTTTTTTCACTTTCGGCTTGTTGATTTTATCCTCAAAATCTTGATTGTTGAAGTCACTCCCTTTTTTCAATTTTCCTTTACACGCCCCCTTTTTCCACAATGCCGACTATACCAAAGTTACATTCGACCCCTCACGTCAATACTCGTCGTTTGCAATTTGGTCAGCTTGGGATGCTGTGATCTGAACCTCTCTCTTTTTCGGCCCAGGCCGTTCGAGGGTCTCTTGTATTTGCGTCTCTTGGTCTCTCTCACACCCTTGTTTTTGCAGAAAGCGTTGGAGCTGGTGGTTAGGATGGTAGTTTTATTTTTGAAATAGAGCGAGCTTAAGAAAAAAATGGCAAGACCCATTTACAAACAGTATCGTCGTTTCAATCTGTGAGATTCACATCGATCGAGTACTGCAACGAATAGATGTCATTTACATCATCGGATGGCCACGCGCGGATAGAAGGGAACTTTGCTTACGCGTTCATCGCAAACGAAAACCATGCTTATTCCCGGTTTCTGATATTTCAATTTATCCTTTTCTTTTCTGTTGCTCGAACATGGAAGACATTGTGGCGTATTTTTTGGGACGCTTGTGGCGTTACATGGTAAGATGAACGGGTTGCGCAATGTGTTGATCGATGCTGGCAGAAGAGGAGAAGAGGTTTTAGGTGTAATGTTGGGAGTGCGACCCTGATCGTACGTAGGATCTGGCTAGGAGCCGCAGTTGATAACGATCTGAGTATCTCGACTGCACTGTAGGTTTCTTTGAATGACATTGAGGTCGTGTTTGATATCATGATGTGTTACGGGATATCGAGGGTAGTAATAGTTGTACAGTGTAGATATATGCCGCTTTGATGTATAATTTACAGATGAAAAGATGGACGGCAAAATGACAGCGCCCGCTCTATTTCAAGGGCTTGATACCCTTGTGGATGGCAGCGATACCGTTGGTCAAGTCTTCCCAACCTTGACCGTTCTCACCGCCAGGAACAGCGAAGCCAGCCTCCTTGATCATGTCCCTCCACTCAGTCTGGCTGGGAAATCTCTCGATACTCTCAACAAGATATTGGTAGCTGTCTCTGTCCCCAGCGACGACCTGACCGATCAAAGGAATGGCGGCAAAACTCCATCGCTTGTAGACGAAATCAAATACGGGGTTGTTGACCTTGCTGAACTCGAGACAGGCAAAAACACCACCAGGCTTCAGGACGCGGAATGCCTCCTTCAGGGCAATGTCCTTGTGTGTGAAGTTGCGAATACCGAAAGAGACGGTGTACAGATCCATACTGTTGTCGGGGATCATGTGCAAGTTCTCGGCATTGGCCTCTACAAAGTCCAGTCTCCCGGTACCGTTGTAGTGGGANAGAGCAGCACGCTTGCGACCTTCGGCAAGCATATCGGGGTTGATGTCTGAGATTGTGACGTGTGTGTTTGGGTCGTGGTTTATGTTTGTCGCGTGGTCGAGGATGCGGAAAGCAATGTCACCGGTCCCGCCTGCGATATCCAAGACCTTCCAGCCAGTCTGTGGTGCACCAGGGGTGTGACTGCCAGGGTTGATGCTACGGACAAAGTGGTCTTTCCAGAGGCGGTGGATACCGAGGGACATGAAGTCGTTCATTGTGTCGTACGAGGAGGCAACGGAGCTGAAGACGGCGCCGACTGTCGCATGAAGCCATTAGCTGCTGATCCTAGTATGACCATGGCACTGAAGTGTACACGAATGTGCTCTTACCTTTNNGGACTCCTTCAATGACTCGGCAATGCTCTCGAAACCGAAATGCGTCGTCTTCTCATCATTGCGTTTTTGCTCGGCGAGGTATGGCGAAGAGGAGAAGGCGCGGACAGGCAAAGGTGTGACAGTGCGAGTGGAAAGCCGTAACCGCTTTGCGGCACGAGGGACAAATGAAGACATGGCGATGTTGATTGTACTTGCCTCCTCTACCCAACCACGAACTTTGGCGAAACAAACGCTCACGCCGCTGCGCCAAGCATGTATCTCGAAGATCGGAGATTAGATCCGGCGGGTAGATCCTCTGCTTAGCGTAGGGCGTACCCCAGACGGAGCCTGCGACTGGAGGGCGCTACCGAGGACCCGAATGTGCGGAGGGGTACCCATCATTGTACTTTCGTGTCCCCTGTCTCTTGAGGACATGTTCCTGGTTGCAAATTCACAGCATGAGTGTCCTCAGATCTACGTTGCCAGTGGCTTTTCGCCCATCAAGATGCTCCTTCCGGAATGTAACCAAAAGATGGAATTCAGTGTCACAACGGCCAGGCTCAGATCGGTACATAATCACCCATTCTTGTTGTCGATGACCCACTGAGAAGTAACCANGAGTACGCTTTCCTGGTGCCATTGACAGCAAATTTACAACAAACCTTGATTTTACACGGCCAGCAAACAAGAAAGCTATGCCGACTTATCGTATTCTGGACCAAGACGGCGTTATTGTCGACAAGTCAAGGGAACCCTCGGACATCTCAAACGACCATCTCATCAAGATGTATAAAGACATGCTGAGTGTGAGCAGTAAGGAGTGCTCAACTTCGACCGTAAAAAAGCAGGACTGATCAGATCAACAGNTCATGGATGTAATCATGTTCGATGCTCAAAGACAAGGCCGAGTCAGCTTCTACATGGTCTCAGCAGGTGAAGAAGGCATAGCAGTCGGCTCTGCCTCCGCATTAGACCCCAGTGATCCCATATTTGCTCAATACCGTGAGCAAGGAATCTTCAAGTACCGAGGCTTTACACCCGCAGACTTTATGAATCAACTCTATGCCAACAAGCACGACCCAGGTCTAGGCCGCAACATGCCAATCCACTACGGAAGCGAAAAGTACCATATTCACACCATCAGTTCACCTCTGGCCACTCAGATCCCTCAGGCTTCTGGTGCTGCCTATGCGGTCAAGATGCAGAACGCCATGAATCCAAAAGACACACAACGTTGTGTGGCATGCTACTTTGGCGAAGGCGCAGCGAGCGAAGGTGACTTCCATGCCGCACTAAACATTGCGGCCACCAGGAAATGCCCTGTCATCTTCATCTGCAGAAACAATGGGTACGCCATCTCAACACCAACACTCGAACAATACCGCGGCGATGGCATCGCATCCAGAGGTGTAGGCTACGGCATCGATACCATCCGAGTCGATGGCAACGACATCCTAGCCGTCAGAGAAGTCACCAAAGAGGCTCGCAAGATGTGTCTCGAAGACGGCGGCAAACCCATCTTGATCGAAGCAATGAGTTACCGCGTCTCGCACCACAGCACATCCGATGACAGCTTCGCATATCGTGCCAAAGTCGAGGTGGAAGACTGGAAGCGCAGAGACAATCCCATCACTCGTCTGCGCAAGTGGATGGAAGGAAGAGGAATCTGGGACGAGGAAAAGGAGAAAGAAGCTCGTGCTGTGCTGAAGAAGGAGATCTTGGAGGCGTTCAAGCAGGCTGAGAAGGAGAAGAAACCGGCTCTGAGGCATATGATGGAAGGTGTATACGAGGAGCTGACCGAAGAGCAGAAGGAACAGATGGAGAAACTCAGAAGTATCATTGAGAAGTATCCAGACGAGTACGATGTCAGCGAATACGAAGGTGGACTTGATAGTCTGAAGGGTTAGTTTGTAGCGAGGAGAAAAAATAAAAATACTTGGGAACGTATGAACATCCGTCTACTCCATGAGATCTGCGACAGTGCCCAAGAACTCTCCGTGCACACCAGCCTCTTGCTGTTGCAACAAAGAATCAATATCGAGACCGCTCGAAGTCAGGTACCTCTCACTAACACCGACATTGACTCTCGTACTCAACATATCCCTCAGCTGGGCTCTAAGTGCACCAGTCTCAGCCTTGGTCAAGCCTCTTGCTTCTCTTTCCTTCTTGATTCTGCCAGCGCCTCTACCCCTCTTACCAGGTGCATTCTCGAACTCTTCAGAGTCATAGTCGACACCCAGATCTTCAGCCGCTTGCCTCAAGAAGTCATCTTCACTGTGCTTCTTCTCCTTTGCAATGGTAGTATCGGCCAGTTTCTTCGACAAGTTTGCTCTAGGCTTCAGTCTGCTGACGACACGACGATCAATGTCCAGACTGCGGATGAAGTAGCCATTCTTTGCTGCATCGTTGGCTGGCTCGGCACCTGCAGCTGCGGAGCTGGCGTGAACCTTTGCGATCAATCTGCGCGTACCAGCCACTTCTTCAGGTCCACAGATCAAAATACTAGAGCCAGTCTCGCCAGCACGAGCAGTACGACCAGATCTGTGGACGTAGTTGTCTGCAGCGCGAGGAAGATGGTAGTGGATGACCAAGTTGACGTTGGGGATATCGAGACCACGAGCGGCGACATCGGTGGCAAGAAGAATAGAGCCCTTGTGGTTGGTCTTGTTCTGGTTGTTTGAAGTGAAACGCTCGATGGCACGAAGACGTGCCTTCTGTGCCATTTGCGAATGCAGAGCGTGAACTGGAAGTTGCAGGTTTTGCAAGAATGGTGTCAGACGACGCACGGCGGAGATAGAGTTGCAGAACACGATCGTTCTGGCGTTAGGGTGTAGCAGGAGAAGGGCATACAAATAAAGATCCNNTAGAAGAGCTGTTAGTTCTGTGGCGTTTGTACATGAGTAGTTATAAGAACAAACCTTCTCTGTACCGCCGCACTCAACCATACCTTCCTTGAGGCCAGAAGCCATTTGACTGATCGGGTTGACGTCGACGAACTTGGGCTTCTCCTCGCGGAAGTTGAGTTTCTTGAGCAGATACTCCATACTCTCCTTCTTGTCCATCAGACCAGCACCGGGCTTGGCCTTGCCTGCGAGTTTGTGCTGCAAGCCCTTATGGAAGGTAGCAGAGAAGACGAGCGTTTGCCTCTCGACCTCCTCGACCACCTCGGGTGCCTCATCCTCATCCTCATGTTCCTCGGCCTTGAAATCGTCTTTGCGGTCGAGAACATTGATAATCTCCTCGAGCTCCTTGAAATGACCTTGACTGAGCAGTCTGTCGGCTTCATCAATGACGAGGAACTGGATCTGCTTCAGCCACTTGAGCACACCATGGCCACCACTGATGATTTCCCACAGACGTCCAGGAGTACCGATAATAATGTCTGCGTTCTTGAGTTGTCTTTGCTGCTTTGCCATGGAAAGACCACCAGTGAGTGTTGCGATCCAGGGTGCCTTGTCGAGACCAGAGCACAGAGTGGTGAGATGTGTGGAAATCTGGTGAGCGAGTTCACGAGTGGGGGAGAGAATCAAAGCCAAAGCAGGTTTGCGAGCAGCCTCTTCCTCGCTATTGGCCTTCTTCTTGTTGTTCCCAGCAATCTTCTGCATCTCCAGATAACGCTCCAAAATAGGAATACCAAAGGCTAATGTCTTTCCAGATCCGGTACTGGCCTTTCCGATGACATCGTGGCCTGCCAAAATTTCAGGGATAGCGGCTTTTTGGATTGCCGATGGCTGGTGGAACTTCATCTTCGACAGAGCTCCAAGGGTATCGTCCGAGAGGTTCAGAGGGCGCCATGCGGTAATATCAGCACCTTCGTCCTCTTCTTCGTCGAGAAGGTTTGCAAATGCGGTGGATCCAACTTCCGCCTGGGTAGTAGCATCCTTCTTCTCTGCTTTCGGCTTCTTTTCCTTCTTCTCTTTCTTTTCCTTTTGGTTCTTCTCTTTCTTCTCCTTCTGCTTCTTCTCCTTCAATTGCTGCTTCTGCAACTCTTTCTGCTTCTTCTTTCTGTCTTCCCAGGTTTCTCCTTCCTCAAGCTCGGGAGCAGATCTTGGAGTGACGGTTTCAATAACCATAGCACCGCCTTCTTCCTTATCTTCTTCCTCCTGATCATCGTCGCCGAACCCAGTGAACTCTTCACCGTCATCTTCTGACTCTTCCGGAGCGGCTCTCTTTTTGTANGCCTTGTCGCTAATAGCCCGATAAGAAACAATGCCATTATCGTCCTTGACAACATCCACATCATCAATTTCTTCAAGACCGTAGAAACCTTCAAAATCATCCAATCTATCGGGCATTTCGACATCGTTCCATGCCAGATCGTCCAGACGCACTTTTTCCGATTTTGGTGGCGCCGCGTTTGAAGATTTGGTTGTGGCTGTCTTCTGTCCAGCCTTGGGGCCCTCCAGCTTTTGTCGCTTTCTAGCCTTCATTGCCGCGACCTTTGGAGGTAGAGCTCGCTTGGTCTCAGTTGTCGCCATGATTATTTTGTGTATGGTTGATGTTGATGCAAAGAGGATGGAAAATGTCAATAGACGCCAAGAGGTGGAAAAGTTCAAGGGTCCAGATTTGCGGGAGAGCCTCGGCAGACTCTTTCTGAGCAACCTGGAAAGAGATACATTTTACCATCCGAAACATCGAATTACCGTTGTGACCTGAACTGATCTGATTGAGAATGGGAAAGTCGTCCAAAGACAAGCGCGATGCTTACTATCGTCTCGCCAAAGAGCAAGGCTGGCGTGCCCGCAGTGCATTCAAGCTTCTACAACTGGATGAGGAATTCAATCTATTCGAAGGAGTTACTCGCGTAGTCGACCTTTGCGCAGCACCTGGAAGTTGGAGTCAAGTTCTGTCTCGTGTTTTGATCAAGGGCGAAAAGATTGGACGAGCCGGCTGGGAGGACAAACGAGCTAGAGAAAAGCTCGAGTCGCATGGCCAGACCACAACCATCTCTGGACACGGGCATGAACTGGAAGCAAAACAGCAGCTTCAACCAAGGGAAAATGTCAAGATTGTGGCTATCGATCTGCAGCCCATGTCACCATTGGAAGGCATCGTGACTATGCGCGCAGACATTACACACCCTTCGACCATCCCATTATTACTCAAGGCCCTGGACCCAGAGACTTTCGATCCTAGCTCTGTCCAAGCATCTCACCCCGTAGATCTGGTCATCTCAGATGGTGCACCTGACGTAACTGGCCTGCACGATCTCGACACATACGTGCAATCACAACTACTCTGGGCAGCGCTAAACCTTGCCCTTTGTGTCCTCAAGCCTGGCGGTAAATTCGTGGCCAAGATTTTCCGTGGCAAGGACGTCGATCTTCTCTACGCGCAACTCAAGATTGTATTTGAGCGAGTGCGCGTGGCCAAGCCGAGGAGTAGTCGTGCGAGCAGTGTCGAGGCATTCGTCGTGTGCACAGGATTTCGCCCACCGAAGGGCTTCAAGGCCAGTCTGGAGAACCCTCTCGGTGCAGGTACACAACTGCAAGTACCTGAGGAGATGAAGCTTGAGAAGACTCTACCATCGCGTACGCTGAGATCGGACGGCATCGCCGAGTTGGAGCTTGGCTCTGAAGACGAAGAGGAAAGCAAGGACATCAGATGGATTGCACCATTTTTGGCCTGTGGAGATCTATCGGCCTACGACGCAGATGCTTCGTATCACCTACCTAAAGACCATGTTGTGCTGGACCCTGTGCAACCACCGACTGCGCCGCCATACAGGAAAGCTTTGGAGATGCGCAAGACAGCTGGTGGAGCCTACGGCAAAACGAAGCTAGGTTGAAAGAATCCATGAACGGGTCTAATCACAAATCTGCTCCATTGGGACCAAGAATATACGGCAATAGTAGCCCAAAAACTTGCGACGTTTCTTCGAATCCGTCTTGTCGTCCTGCAATGCCAGATTTAGGTCCAGAGTCCGCCATTTTACGACTTGTGCCTTTCCAGTACCAGCTTGACAAGATCATCGACATTGAAATATAGGAACTCTTCCCTTTCAGGAAGATCCTAATTAGCTGGACGAGACACCTCGAGGACCTCCAAATCATAACGCAATTGATTCATATCCTCTACTTGACCCCTATTCCACAACTATCTTCTGTTATTCTAGCCGCTGCCGCTATCGACGCTGCGTTGCAAACCTTATGTTTCGCTCCTTGTACGTATCTGCCCAGATCTGTTGTATCTCTGCTCTGCATCAGCGTCGGTAAAAAAGCATCAGATCGCACAAGACTCACCTTTTNGGCACCTCCCTCCCACCCGTCTTCTCAATCTCATTCTTGAAGTGGATATCATCACCTCTGCCCTCAACCACCTGTCCATTAGGTTCTTGGCCACCCCACCCTTCTGTCTCAACTTCATCAAATCTACCCAATGCATCGAATGCCTTCATCAATGTCTCCATCTTTGTCAATGCCTCTTTCGGATAACTCTCGAGCAGACCGGCAGGCGCAAGATTAGATGGTGTAAGCGCTGGTGCAACAGCATTGATCGAGACACCAACGTCTGCAGCTGAAGGCGCCATTGCCCTTACCAAGCCCACAATAGCATGTTTGGTAGCTGTGTATTGTGGCACAGCCGGTAAAGCCCAGAGTCCGGCGTCTGAAGCTGTGATGACGATTCTGCCACCTTTACCGCCGGTTTGACCATGCAGAGGTTTGTTCAAAGCCATGTAATGAGCAGCTAGTTTGACTCCATAGTATGGTCCGTACAAGTTGACTTCAAAGGTCTTCATGTTTGGTTTGGTGGGTGGGGTGTTGAGATCCTTGCTCGTGGAATAGAATATATCGTCTCGGTCGTCGATGCCAGCGTTCAAGGCACAGAAATCGAGACGGCCGAACGTGGACCAGCAGGTCTCGAAGGCCGAGGATTGTGCATCCCAGGAAGACACGTCTGTCGCGTGAAAGTGGAGGGATGAGGAAGAGAAATCGGACAGTTCGGGTGAGGGAGGAGGATTGATGTCAGCAATGAAGACATGCCAGGATCGATTGAGGAGATACTTGGTCAGAGCGAGACCAATTCCNTGTGTTTGCGATTGTCAGATTGTTCGTCTCAAAGCCGAGTCTGAGACTTGGTGGATTGTACCTGAAGAACCACCTGTGATGAGTGCGACTGGTGCTGCGGGAGCCATGATTGATATGCTCTCTAAGGAATGAACGGAACAACTACAATTAAAATCAACACAACCAGGGAACGGACACCTTCGCTGTCTAATATTGCTGCATCTAGTCGGCAGTTGTGTCCCATAGATGGGGCATCAAGGTGGATATTGGTGGGGTCCATTTGCGGGGGTGATCAAGGAGCGGAACCATTGCCGCGCTCTGGTCTACCCAGACTGTATGTGGGGTGGTATAGAGGAACATAAGAACGTATTGTCGCTCCTTGAACAGAAGCCTGATCATGCGATATAACCTCACAATGGAGTTCTTGTCATGAATGACACCTCTCCACGTGCTAACGACCCGATCATCCGATCATTCACAGATATATAGTGATATGACAAACTGAAAATGCACGATGGTTCATGGAAAGAGAGTAATTCAAGGCGAGTCGTGATTGTCAGCTTGCTTTGGACTTGCCTCTATTCTTTGTTTGACTGTCTTATCCTATAGCTACATCAAGACAGTCTTTCGCATATGGAGGTTGAGGAGTTTGAGAGACTGCGAGCACTTTGTGCCAACTTTATGCAAAGACAATGCAAAACGTGCTTGATGTTTGTACAGCATGACGCATTCCGCAGCAACCCCACTAAGGGACAATCAAAGAGCTCTAGCAAGAAAGACCCCTTGGCCATCTGTTTCCTTTTCACTTTCTCACCTTCAACAAATCTCCGCAAAAATGGTCGACAGAGCACACAAACCCTCAGCACTCACTCCCAGCACCACTGGCCCTCAGCCTACCGTCCACTCGGATGGCNAGAAGGTGACCGCCAGCCTGCCCAGCGGCGATTCGGTTGAGGTCATGCTGTACGGCGCCACGGTCATCTCGTGGAAGAACAATGGCAAGGAGAACCTGTGGTTGAGCTCCAATGCCCACATGGACGGCAAAAAGGCCATCAGAGGTGGTGTGCCCGTCGTTTTCCCTGTATGTTCTCACCGCTTGCACAACGCAAAACAACCCACTGATGACCTGCACATAGNNAACTTCGGCCCTGCCCCCAAAAACCACGCTACTTCGGCCCTCCCTCAACACGGTTTCGCGCGCATCTCCAATTGGGAGTACCTTGGCACCACCTCGTCAGAGTCTGGCAATCAGAAGGGCAGCGACGACTCTATCCGCCTTGACTTTGGCCTCACACCCAACAACCTCAGCGATGACATGAAGAAGGCATGGCCCTACGACTTTAGCCTGCAGTACAGCGTCACCCTGTCCAAGGACGGTCTGCAGACCATGCTCAACGTCCGCAACCAGGGCGACAAGCCTTTCGACTTCCAGACCCTCTTCCACACCTACTTTGCCATTTCCGTAAGCAAAATTCACCGCCTCTACTCGCTTCATCAATACATTACTAACACACTCAATCAGGACATCTCCAAAGTCAAGGTCACCGGCCTCTCGGGCGTCAGATACATCGACAAGATCCTCAACGCAACCGAGCACGACTCCAAGGGCAACGAACTCCGCATCGAAAGCACCGTCGACCGCGTTTACAAATCCTTCACCCAAGACACGACCTCGATCCTCGTCGACGACAAACCCCGTCTGGATGTCATCAGAGACAACATGCAGGACACCGTCATCTGGAACCCTTGGAGGGAGGGTGCCGAGGCCATTGCCGACTTTGAGCCCAAGGATGGTTACAAGAACATGATCTGTGTCGAGGCTGGTGCTGTCAACGGCTGGATCACCCTGGAGGCTCAGGATGGCTTTGAGGCTGGCCAGGCGCTCAAGAGCCACCTGTAAACGAGTGTACGCTTGTTTGCAACAGAAAAAGCATGTGACACGACAGTGATGAAAGAAGATAGCATGGTTCACCACAGCGAAGGCATAGTAGAAGGGAAATAAGCTCTTCTCGACTCAGCATAGACTTAATCAACCAGGATTTACAGCCATCGATACCAATGCTCCAAACGATGCCAATTGCTCTTGTTGCTTCAGCACATGTTGCGGCTTGACCATTGTTCATTAATTAAGGTGCCATTTGAATACATCCGGCTGTAACACGCTAAAGACCTGATCGTCTCCTAGCCTCATAAACATGCCGCCCTAACTCATACAAAGCATCCGTGATCTCACGTTCCTCTTGTGGCCCAACGATCAATGTCTTGCAATTGATGATGAGATCTTGCAACCTCGCAACCACCCAGTTGGCCTGTGTAGGTGGCGGTTCGGGAATTGCCTGTTCTTCCTCATGCCTCAGCTGCGAGTCTGCTTCTTGATTGTCGTCGTTTCCGTCTTCTTCCTGCTCATCAACGTTCGCATCATCATCATCATCATCATCATCAACTCCCGCATCATCTTCGACCAACGACTGAACCACCAGCGAAGTTTCACCAGATGGACCTGGACTGACAAGAACAGCTTCAAGCTCGCGTCCTCTACGACGAGGCGTAGGAGACAGCATGACATGCTCAACCGGCTGGCCTGATTTTGCGTCTTGACTTCTTGTTGTTCTTCGAGACTTGCTTGGCGCGGGCGTATCGATGGTCATAGAGTCATGGTCTTCTTCTGCTCCAAGCGTTGACGCACGTCGCTTCGAGGCTCGAGTTCTGACGGAAGAGACTGGGTCGGACACGATAGGTGTCGTCGACTTCCTGGGTCTTCCACGTCCACGTTTAACTGTAGCTAGTGCAACGCTTGCTGGAGCCGATTCTGGAACTGGAGAGTCTTCTGAAGCTTCTGATTGAGACTCTTCTTCCTGGTTCTGCTGGCTTCCAACAACGATGCAATCTTGCACGTCTTCGTCTTCGTCGTCGTCGTCATCGTCGTCCTTCTCCATCTGACTGCCCGTGAGGTAAGAGAGCGTTCTTGTGACGATACGTCTGAACGGAGATGCAGATGACTTGCGACGTTTGGCTGAAGCTCTCGTTTCATGTGGCTCTTCTCGCTTACGCTTGGAAGCCGAAGTAGCAGGGTTTGGCTTGGTAGTCGGGCTGGTGTGCGTCTCTTCTTGGATTGATGTCATATCGTCTCCATCAGGCGTGTTTCCTACGAAGGAGTCCAGAACTCTGCTGATTTCACCAGGCGTAGCAACGGCTTCGGGAACCTTAATCTGAGAGGGTACCACAGAGCTCTTAGAATCCTTCTGAAGCTGTTCGGACAGACTATCTGTGAAGGGTATAGGCGAAGAGTCATCGGATCCGATTGCATCTTGATCTCCCAATGTCTGCTCAATGACTTGACTGACATCGGGTTGATCGCTTGCAGCAGAATTTCCAGTGTTGAGTTCGGAGCGTGCATCTGTAAAGACATCGGACGAAATCCCACCCTCAGAGTTATGAGCTAGACGCTTGATTGAGGGGTGCGTTGGAATATGCGTGTCCGCGGCTTGCTTCACTGTAGCTGTGTTTTGCGGAAGTTCTCTCGAGTTGTCGGCCTTCGGCTCTTCCTGAGGCATGATTGTGGAAAAGTCCTCAGGGACAGTATCAAACCGGGTCTCGCTCACACCCTGTTGATCTACAGCTTGTAAGTTTTCGATCTCGGTCGTGCCCTCGTACACAGTTTCATCTGCCATCTCGGGTGGAGAAGACGGGATGTTGGCATCCTCCGCTTCGAAGGCTGAATCATCCACATCTGTGTTCTCCACAACAGGTGGTTGAAACTTCTCGGTTGCCTTTGGTGTGGGTGAGGAAGTGATGTACTCGTCCATCGGTCCATGGTCGTCATTCAGGGTGGGTGTAGCATATCCTGTATCCGTGACTGCCTGCTGGCTAGAGAAGTCCAGAAGCGGTAGTCCTGACTTTGACGCTCTCCTTCGTGGTCCTGGGCTCGATGAGAACTCAGGATACAATGGTGCCATTTCGAATTGCTGTCGAGATTTGACCTCTCTCTGATGTTCGGTCAGAAGCTGAGATTCCATTGCTACAGGTGACGAGCTCTCAACAGCTGTAAACTCGACTTGGGAGTCTTCGTGTCGCAGCTTTGATTTTGGCGCTGGTCTAGAAGCAGGCTGTCTTCTCGTAACAAGTTCTCTCTGTGGACTAGAGGAGGCAGCACGACTAAGCACACTAGTTCTCTTCGATCTTCTCGTAGGTTGCTGCTTAGAGGGTGATGGCGTGTCCTGGACATCGACATCTTGCTGCGACTCAATTAAGTCACGTAGTGGTGACGGTACCTGCTCTTGTCAGAATGTGGGCAAAATTGTATGTGAGCTNTTGTTTACCAGTGCATCAACGTTCTGTGGGAAGGTGGGCAAATCAAGTTCGACGAGCGGCTGAAGACGCCTCATTGCTTGCTCAACCTGGCTAGGATACTCGAGCGAGTCGAGTTGACCAAATGTTGTGTTCCAGAAAGACACGGTAAGGTTAATGATGTCTCTATGTGTGCTGTTCAAGCCAGCTGCAAACAGTTCGTCCAAGGCTTTCAAGAGTGTCTTGTTCGAGGGCAGATTCTTCAGCTGTTCGAGTACAGATTGCCACAAAGCAAGTACCNNTATGTGAATTAGTGACAAGGCTTTGGCTGGCTGCAAATTATGACTTACCTTGAGGAACACATCTTGAGCCTCCTTACTACCTGCAAGTACGCGATTCTCATCCTTGACAATCAGCGACAATCCATGTTGCACCCTACGCAATGCAGGCGAAGCGAACAGGGACAGAGGACATTTTGACAGGAAGTCTTGGACCGCTTCGACGAATTGTGCTAGACACGGTGCAGTTTCTTCGATTCTACCATATGAGATCAAGAGCGCTGAATTTGCGAGCTCATACACGTGATTGAATGGCTCGAAGCTCGTCTGCTTCGAATACGGCAAATGCGTGTTCCAGAGAGACCTGCGCGCTTCGTCCATTTGCTGTTTGTTACGAGGAAATGTTCCAACTCGTAGCAACTTATCAGTGATTTGAACAAGGACAGTCTTCGGAATCATCTCGTCCTTTTGCTGCAAGAGTGCCTCGGCTAAAGGTTCCATTAGACCAAGAACCACACCACCTTCACCGGCTTCTTGTTTCAGGATCCTTGCTAATACACTGACAAGTTCGAAAGCGACTGACAACGCACCGCTCTCAGCATGTCGATGATGGAGACCCGACGCCAATATCGAGATCGCATGCCGAGCTTGATGCCCAAGGCGAGCTGGTTCTTGGACAGATTCGTTCAAGCTGGAGTCAAGAAGAACTGCAGTGGTTTCCTGTACTGCAGTCCTCCACAGCAACACTGAAGTCGAGGCCAAGCTTGCTTGTGAGCATTTGCGTATAAGCTCCAGCCGTTCCTTACGTGAAGTCCTACCCTGGCAGATCTGATGAAGTAACTCTCCAGCAGCATCGGAGTAAGCTACATCTGTGCTGATTGCATATGGTGGTTGAGCAAATAGATCGAATAAGAAAACGGCAGGTGATTGCAATTTCGCATGGTGTTTCGATGAGCGATTTGATGGAGTCGGTGCAGCCTCGAAACTCTTGGATACACTACGAGTCAGGTTTTCTTCACTGAATGGTAACGGTCCAATGGTATCGATGGAGCATTGCACAAGAGCCGTGAAACGTGAAATCCAAGGCGTCTCCAGACGATCCACATTCTTTGGAGCCTTCGCCCATAGACGGCCGAACAAATTCATCAGCTGGGCTAAGCACTCTTTGAGGTCTTGCGAACGCAGTACTTCGTGACTTCCAGCACTAGCAACGGCAGTCAAGAACTCGCGCCAGGGAGTTCCATCAATACCACGTCCGTCTCCTGACTGGGCTAGGGATAGCTCGAGGAAAGGGCTTAGCAAGTCTAGTATTTTGTGAGCCCTGGAGCGTATCCACTTAGAATCCAATCGAGACAGAGCCTCGGGTAGTATTGGAGCCTTGTTGGCTACCTCCTCGTCCCAGACAACTGACTTGCCGTCGAAAAGGGCCTTGAGGACCCGACAAGCTAGACTGGCATCTCTTCCACCAGAGAGCAGTAGCTTCAGGAGGACTTCCTTGACATATACGTCCCAGAAATAGTCAAGATCTTCCCATGGCTGGGAGGGTCGTAGAGCGTAGTGCAGCAAGTTGCAGTAGCCGGAAAGCGCGATGTGGCGCACTTCCTTACTCTTCTTGTCTCGGCCTTTGTTTGTGTGGAGAACGTGTACGAAGGGCACTCGAAGCGTATGATCCCATCCTTCCATCTTCTCTAGCATTTCGCGATCTGGATTGGCGACATAAACGAGACGGTTCCAGGCGCATGTGGCTCGGAATTTGACAGTGAGGTTCTTGCTGTTAAGGCAATTCTGAATCAGGAGGAACCACTGTTCACAGAACAGTGGCCATTGTGACAGCTTTAACTTCTTGCTCCTGAAGAAAAGCACCACCATTGACCAGATCTGGGGAACAGCCTCCTCGAGGTCGGTGTTCTCACCACTCTCTTTTGGCTTGGACATGTCAAACAGACGGGCAGTGAAATAATCGCCATAGTCTCTAGCCTCGGTAGTAGCTGCATGGAAAAGATCAAGGATGACTCTGGTCGATGAGTAGCTTGTGCCGTACATCATGGCAGCTTGCATTCCAGTTTCAATGGCACGCACCCGAACGTCCTTGATGCTACTCAGAACACCGTGGAAAATGTGGGGCATCCACTCACGTATATTACTGAGCATGGTAGTAGGGGCTTGGTCCATCAAGCGCTGGAAAATCACCAAGCGGGATGCAATGACACTGTTGCCGCTGACACGATCGTGGATGGTGGTGAGCGAAGAGAGAATTTGCTCTACTTTAGATGCATTGACAACTCTGGATGGGAAGCGTTGAGTTGCCAGAAGAAACATATGGTGGTTGGCGATCGACTTTGGCACTGGGTCCTGTTCCAGAATTTCTATAGCACGATCGACGAGCAGCGTCTGGAATTGCTCGTCGAGAGCGTCGGCGAGAGCAGGCAGCATGAGGAGTGCGGTTGTAAGTTTCAAGGCTTGTGTGGTCAGACTTGATGTCATCGGATCCGATTTGCGACTTGATTCAAGAATATCTCGAGAAATGTATTTGGTGAGAAGAGGCATTTTGGCTCGCATGGCGTCGACGTCAGGCAAGTCATCGTAGGCCTTAAGAGCGCCATTGAGAGTACTGTATCCATCCAAGCGGAGTGCCGTCGAGGGGGCGTCGAGGAACTTCAGAACCGAGTCGAGCATGACGGGAAAGGTCTTTGGATCGGAGATGGAGAAGTAGTCGGCGGCGGGCGACGCAGCGTCAGGTGTGGGTGTCTGCAGGTCAAGTGTGGCTTTCAAGATAGATCTGACAGGTCTAGGTTGCTTGCTCGAGGGGAAGCGACGAGGGATTGGACTGGCGGCACCTGCTGAAGTGGCATAAAAGGGCGTAGGATCATGAGCAGTGATGCATGGCGAGAACTCGACCCGCTTGCTTGACTTGTGTCGCGAGCCTTCTCCTTGTGATGATGGAGGCGATGGTTGGATGGGAGTGCCTGTGGGTGAACAGGGCTGCTGCACCTGGTCGAGCTCGCTCTCAAAGTCGACGTCCAGAAGGCTAATGACTCTGTTTATTTCGTGGTCGATGTCTTTGGGAGGAGTCGGAGGACGATTGGCGAGATGCTCGAGCGGCTCAGCAGAGACCATTGCCGTACGATGGAGGTAATGTCTATTCTGAGGTCTTGTTCAATCGACCCTGCTTGTTCAGCAGCATGATGGTGTTGTCTTTGGGCGTTGTCAAGTAAACTCTCCAAGTCCAGATGACGCGCCTCGAACGTGCTTTCCTCGCGTTCCAATTAAGAAAGAACCACTTTTCTTGGCACGCTTGCAGTTGCTTGGTGACCACTTCCCGATTCGGAAATTGCTCCTTCTTTCCTCTTTGGTCGTTGAACCTTCCATACAGCACATTCCACCATGTTTGCTCGACCCTCACAAGATAATGGCCTGGGTAGAACGATCTTTATATCTCGAGTCTCGTGCTCTGCTGATACATATCCTGATTAGACAAAGCCAAAGTCGATGAGCTCCTGACTAAGCTCACCGCCGACTTGCAGGACGAGAAATTATCAGAAGCACGTATGTTCTCTGGCCAGGCCGGTTTCCATGTGCAAGAAGACTGTCACATCGTAGCTGTCTAGATGCGCATCACTTCTCGGTCCAGGGTGGGTTACACACTAAGAAAATGTCTTCTCCGTGGATGTCACTCTCTTCTGAAAGTATCGTGTATCTCTTCAGCTACGCTGGGACGATCTCTAGCACACGCCAAGGTCTAACACTATCACTGTAGAGCTTTGTCTGACGAAACAACAGAACGTAAAAGCCTTCTCGAGCAACTCAAAGTGCTTGGGAGAAATCCTGCAAATTCCGAGTCCATCTTCGCCAAANAGGGAGTCGAAACGCTATGTGAATATGGCTTCGACGTGGCAGAACTAGATGTCTCACAAGAAGCTCTGCGGTGTTTGGCTAATGCTATGCTCCTGCAAGAAGCTCCAAGGCAGTACCTGCTGGATTTGGGATATGGCGACAAAGCAGCGCAAAGACTTAGAGTAAGTCACTTGTCGATGGCTAGGCATACGAGACTGACTGTGTGTTAGAATGACGATCGGGATGACGAGTTTCTGATTTCGCGCATTATCTTCCTCCNNCTGACATACAAGACTACGGTCGACCTCAGAGAGCTTGTTGAGAAACATGAACTAGCTAGCAGCATCTGCAGGGTATGATTTTACAGTCGTGTCGGAGCGAATCGTAGCTGATACATGGGCAGANACTTAGCCGGACATGCTGATAGACTGTCCGATCCTGCCAGTCAAGTCGCTCACCCTATGAGTGATATGGCATTGACAGAATCTCTGAAGCTGTCATTCAACGTAACAGCTAGACAGCCCGAACTAGCGGCCAGATTCGCAAGTTCTGTCTCAGATCTGTTCAGCATTCTCTCTCATCAGAAGTTGCCTGCACCACCATTGCAAGGCACTGTTAGTGCTATCATCAATGCTTTGATGAACATGGAGATAACGCAAGAAACATGTCCCACCAATGCGCAGCTTGAGCAATTGATCGACATCCTTGAGACTTCGTTGAAGGCATATTCAGAGACGGAACTCGATCAAGCCGCAACCCCATTGTTGACACTTTTGCGCAAGATCCAGGAGAAGGCGTCGCCAGATGTTCGCAAACGCATGCAGTCCCTCTTGTTGCCCGACGAAAAGGCCCGTTCCAAACCTCTAGGTCAAGGCGACTCTTTGTCGTCTAGACTGCTTCGACTTTCCGTCTCCCCGTCGCTGATGAAGTTGCGTGAGAGCATCTCAGCTCTATTCTACGAACTTTCTGACAGCAACCCCACGACATTCATTCACAACATTGGATATGGCTATGCTGCAGGTTTCCTCTCTACACACAAGATTGAGGTGCCGGAGACCATGATGAGAGCGGATGCTGAGGGTGCAGACATCAACCCCGTCACTGGTCAACGTCTGGCTGCTGAATCCACGGACCCTGAGCCCGAGATGACAGACGAGGAGAAGGAACGCGAGGCTGAACGTCTATTTGTCTTGTTCGAAAGGCTGAGGGCTACTGGAGTCGTCGATGTTGAGAACCCAGTGCATCAAGCAATGAGGGAGGGTCGCTTCGACAACTGATATCAGACAATCGAGACACATCCATCTCTTTGGCAGCGAATATGACTTCTATTGGTCACTACGAAATCAACGTTGGCATCCTCTGGCTCTGAACAGAGTACGTGGCAATACAGTCTTCAAACTAAGAACGATGTTTGAGTGTGTTTAGTACCTCAGAGCTTCTGGTGCAACGTGTAGTGTAGACATGGCCAAGACTCAATGATAACGTGCTCAAATAAGATATGACCCTAGCGTCATAGAAGATGCACGCGGTGTCTTCTATCTGCTTACAATGCACAACTGTCGTCTTGGCTGCTCCCGATCCCAGCTTCCTCAAGACCCTTCCGCGCGACCAAGGCGTGTCTGGTGTTTGGTTCACATCCGACGATAAGACATTATTCACAGCTCCCAAGCTCATCGTCGCCAAGTTGGACTACTCTCAGTAGTGGCGTTCTATCAATCACTTGGCAAGAAGGATTCTGGAGGACTGTTGTTGATCTATATGTGGCACGCACGTAGTGATTCAGTAGCTCAGAATTTCGGCGAAGAGAGCAAGAATCTGCAACCCATAGCAACAGTGGTCGTGTGAGCACTACTTCGTGAGTCGTATGGGCGTGAAGCGGAGGATGGAGCAAAACAGAGCCGCTATCAAATATCAACGAGCTGCGATCGGCTCCCTCCGTCGTGTCGCGGGAGGTCGGGTGCGATACGGCGCGATAGGCCGTGCGCGAAATGTCCTGCCACAATTGGGCAAGTCCTTTCCTAGTACGGACGAGAGCTTCGGCAGAATGACGCGCGACAAGACGATAACGCGTGCGACCTTGGTGACTTTTTGCTGCGCCGGGATTTATCTTTCGTGATGCCATTATCTTCAGAGAGGCTGGGTATGGGCGCACAGCGCGCCTTTCAGCTCAATGGTATGGAGTTTGTGTGGCAGAGATAAGCGCTGCTCAGTTGTGCCGGCGCATTTAAAGTCTTCTTGATCGGCAGTTGTAAAAATCTCTCTTCTGTAGGTCTGTCTTGCTTCTCTTGTTTCCTCCCAAGTCCTTCTTTCTGGTTGCTCGAATATGCGTTTCTCGTCCAGCATTCCCTCTGCCCTTTTGGGTATGAGCTCCATCGTTTCTGCATCGGTCCTGCACAAGCCTGTCGCTGTCGCTGAAAGAGCATTGGAATATGTTATCAAGCCAAAGATGATGATCATCTCCATGTTCAGTCCCGAGGCAGAGATCTGGTACGGAATTCCAGAGTTCAACCTCCTCGCCAGAAACATCTCGCTTCCTGGTGCTTCACCTCTGTTCCCTCACGTTCACTGCACCGAGGATGGCGATGTCTGTCAAGTCATCACAGGAGAAAGCGAGATTAACGCTGCAGTCACGATTGCCTCGCTGGTCCGTAGCCCTCGCTTTGACCTGACCACCTCTTACTTCATGATTGCCGGCATTGCTGGAATTAATCCCGAGGTTGCTACCCTCGCCTCTGTCACCTTCGCTCGCTACGCCGTCCAGGTTGCTCTTCAGCACGAACTCGATCCCCGTGATATCCCTGGAAACTTCTCCACTGGATACATTCCTCTCGGTGCTACCAGCCCTTCCGAGTACCCCCAGAACATCTACGGCACCGAAGTCTTCGAGGTCAATCAGGACCTGCAAAAGATTGCTGCAAACTTTGCCCGCAAGGCCACACTCAACGACTCTGACGCCGCCATTGCCTACCGCAAATTCTACGCCAATGACGAGATTTACGCTGCCGGTGCTTCGCCCAGTGGCCCCAGTGTGGTCGAATGCGATGTCGCCACCTCAGATGTCTACTACTCGGGCCGTCTGTTGGGCGAGGCCTTTGACAACTTCACCACCCTCATCACCAACGGCACTGGCAACTACTGCTCCACAGCCCAAGAAGACAACGCCACCCTCGAAGCCCTGATGCGCGCAGCCGCCCNNGAGCAGCTCGTCGATTACGGCAGAATCATCGTCATGAGAACCGCCTCTGACTTTGACCGTCCTTTCCTCGGCGGCTCGGCTACCTACAACTTGTTCGAGTCTTCGGTGCAGGGTGCCTTCTTGCCTGCCGTTGCCAACATTTACCTTGCTGGTGTCAAGGTCGTCGAAGGTATCCTTGATGGCTGGAACAGCACTTTTGCTCAAGGCGTCAATGCCACAAACTACATTGGCGACATCTTTGGTACTCTGGGCGGTGAGCCGGACTTTGGCCTTGGCGCTGAGGTCAGTGGTGATATCTTTAGCAAGAGAGAGGCTCTTGTCAAGAGAAACACCAAGGGTAGAAGAAACGTGCCTGTTCACGTTCGTGGTGCTTAAAGAGCATTGAAGAGTATTAACTTGCTGTAATGTCGATATATGTTTGAGCCTCTTGGTCAATCAAAAAACATACATGTAAATATCTAATGTCTACGCTTGACCGATTGGCAAGCTAAATGAAGAAAAAATTCTATCATACCCCATTGACACAAACCCGCATGTCCCCATATGCATCATGTTTCGAAGAGACTGGGTTATCAATAGCATCTGTCAGCAGGAGGTAATGTCACAAGGAGAAACATTACAATACGAGCAGGAAGTCGATATAGTTTTCAATAACTCGAGAACGATCATAGGCCCTCGTAAAGCCCTTCTGCCTTCCAGCTCACGCCGCCCCCGTTACATAGCACACTCCATCTTCCCGCCATCCACACAACCAACACATGCGCCATCATCAATATCAAACTCTTTTTNGTACTCGTCTTCCAGATTGTGAGGTCCAGAATGGCAAGACCCATCAGTGGATACGTAAGCCACGCCTTGGCTGCAAACGGCGAGCAGGGGTAACTGAGCAAGAAGAGCTTGAAGCCAAAAAGGAACACNTTTGATACAGAGAAGGAGCGAAGGAGAGGTGGTGAGTGAGTGAGACGGGGCCGGCGGAGGCGGAAGCATAAGTCGAGTGGGCGATTTAGTAGTCGGACGCGTCCCAACATCGCGGCCACGAAAAGCAAGTGTTGAAGTNNATCTGAAGGTGATGGAGTACTGGCATTAGTACTCGTGCTTGTGCTTACATCTCTGCTGAAGCGGCGGGGTTGTAGAGGTGGGCTTCTTGAATGTACAAGTTCGCCTGAGTGATGTCTTGCTAGCTCTGATGTGCCCGGCCTAGACGAGACCGGATTGGTGTTGGCTCGTACGGGCCTCTTTGGCGCTGGCGAATCAACCGAAGAGATACGTGAACTCATGTTACTGAGATCTGGAGACTTCTCTCCTCCTGTCCTGGTGGGGTTCATAGGTATATCGTCGATCTCGCCTCCAGCTTTGATGGCTTGCAGAATCTGTTCTGTACTTGGTCTTTCTGCAGGGTTGGGACTCAACAGCCTTTTCAAAAACTTGTAGAGCTTCTCCGGCAGATCTTTCCTCGCTCTGGTTACATCATCAAATCCATGCCAGGCCGATACCTCAGCACGAAGTTTGTCGAGATCTTCATTCTCATCGTTAGCAGCATCGGCATTCTGATAGGGTAGTCTGCCAAAGCACATGAAGTAGACAATCATGCCCAAGGAGAATATGTCAGACTTGGTCGTGAACTCGCCGAAGCCTGAGCCCTGTCTTTGTAGTACCTCAGGAGCACAATAAGATATCGTGCCGGTTGCACCTGTGGAAGTGCGTTGCTCATTAGCGGCTTGTACCTCGCCGAAGTCTGAAACATGAACCGATGTCTTTAAGCCATCGTTGTGCAAAAGACAATTCGACGGTTTAAGGTCTCGATGGATGTAGCCGTTGGTATGCAGATGATGCAGCCCAGATGTGATATCGCGGAAGAAGGAGAAAATCTCGTCGAAGTTCATGGTGCGTCCTCCCAGATTCGTTGGACGCTCTGAAAGTCCCTTTGATCGTCTTCTCATACGTTCCTTCAACATTTCGGTGGGACTTGTGGTTTGTGTCGAGCCGAGGACATAGTTGTGGAGATCTCCCGAGTTACAGTACTGCTGTAGGATGAAAATGCATGGTACGCTTGGTCCAAAATTGGTGATCTGTGCATCTTCCAACCAGACGTGATGATACGACACCAAGTTTGGATGTGTTAGTCTTTGAAGTAATTGCACCTCAATCAGAACCTTTTCCAGCCAGCCGTGATCATTACCGACTGGAATTCTTTTGCAGGCGAACTCTCCAAGGGACACCTTGTCTAGAAAGTGCTCGACCAGGAGTACGACTCCACGACCTCCGCGACCCAGCTCGCGTTTCTCAACGAAGAAGTGTTTGAAATAGTTTGGCAAGAAACTGTCGTCCTTGATGCCTTGGTTTGTGCTACTAGGAGAAGGTGCGCTACCAACGAATTCTGCACCAGGAGGTCCAGAGGCACTGACATTTCTTGGGGTATCAGATCGCAAGGCTGGAAGTTGTTTCAGTGGTGAGGCGGGCCTGGAGGTTGCTGCTGAGTTTGGTATACTATGTGCCAGCATACGAAAGTAGTCCGGATTGACAAAACTGCTCTGGTTGTGTGAGGAAGCTCCCTCATCCTCAGAATCATATTGATGCGGGTTTGTGTCATCTTCCAGGGGCCGATGACAGTATGGGCATTGTTGAAGATTTAGGCCTCCGATGGCGGTCTGAGGGTTCCCACGTAACGACAATTGTCGCGACTCGGGATCGAAGACAACGATCGCATTGCCGCGACGTNNCTACAAGATTAGCAAATGAAGACCTACTTGATGTTCTCACATGTCAAAAGCTTACAAAACAATCTCCTGGGAGTCGGAGGTGTATGGTATGAGAGACATCTGACGGTGGGGTTCTGCGTCGGCCATGTTTACATGCTGGCTTTGAGTTTCGCTCACTTGCTGGCAGCTGTGGTGTACAGAGTGTATTAAACTATCAGTAGTTTCTCTTGCAAATACACGGATGGTCTTCTGTCGATTCACAAGAATGTACAGGATAGTAAAAGGGTAAGGTACGCAGCGGAGATCGCACTTGTCACCTGAGCAATCAATCATCAATGCCAAGAACACCATAGCTGTCTATACATTGAGGGTTCTGAAAGGACATTGAAACCAAGGATCATGAATTGATCTTTGTAAACCTTCTAATGGTAGATAAAAAATGTATATGCCGTGCCATGCGCCTTTTCGGGGGTATCATTTAACGTGTATCATCAATTCAAAACGGGTCCTCCATCTTGACGTCCTTTGCGCCAGAGCCGCCATGAGTTGCGGCTGCAGTGCCAATAGTAGCTGCGTTATGTGTGCCATTTTGCTCGGCCTTCTCTTCTCCAACAATGACTCCAAGACCTGAGAACGCTTCGCAGAGTGCCCGTGAATGGAACTCTTGTTTGCTGTAGCCGCCTGCAAGAATAGCAATCTGGGCGTCGATCTCGTTGAGCCAGTCCCAATCGTAGTGGTCTTGCACAATATGGTACTCATTGGAGAATTGGAGTCCTCCAAAGGCATCGTAGGGAGCTTCTGGACCGGGAGCTTTGCGAGTCTTGAGACCTTTGATGACAATGCCACTGCTGCCGTTTGTTGCATCTTTTGCCGCGGCGGCGGCTTGCAGTTGTCTCTGCCGGTCGGCAGCCTGCTTCTTGTCCAATCGCTTCTTGAGCGTGACGCGGCTCTCTTGCGCGATTGTGTCCGCATCGCCTGAACCAGTAGCAAGGCGGTCGATGATGTCCTGTCTTCCTTCGGCACGTGCTCTTCTCTCTTCCTCCTCTTCCCGACGAGCAGCCTCTCTCCGCAGGCGAGCCTGTTCTCTTTCTGCGGCTTGTAGTGCTGAGTAGTCGTGTGATTCTTGAGACGCGAGAGCGGCGTTTGTAGTGATGGCTTTGGCATTCTGGTCGGCGTAGACCGAAATCTTCTTCTCCGTCTCGTCGACGTCTATCTTATAGATGAGGTTGAATGTGATATCCTCGACCTCATTCAGGTAGTTGTTGTAGTCAAGCAATAAATCGAAGTCGTCTTCGCGGCGGTTGAAGATGTTCGCTACGCGCTTTCGAATGTCGATCTCGCGCTCGACGTGGATGTCCTCGAATGTCTGTTCTCGGAACTTGTGCTTTCGTAGGGTGCGATGACAGCCAGCAATCGGGCACTTGTTTGGACCGTGGGAGAAGATGCGATCCACGCAAGACTCGCACATCTTGTGATAGCATTCTGGGTTGACCAGAAAGCGCATGGACTTGTTGAGATAGCGTGAGGACTTGCATACGGGGCAGATGTCTGAGGTCAGGCTGTCAGCGATGCCTGCAGTCAAGCGGAGACTCGACAGGTCGAGGCCGGCGTTATGTAGCTCACCATCTTCGCCTGGTCGCGCAGGCGCCGACCTGGGCTGAGCAACACGAGACATGGTCGTGTTGATTTGATGGTGAGCTCACGACAGTCCAAGTGTGAGGCTCAACTTGGCCCAGAGATCGCCCATGCTTCGGCTTCGGCTTGCTAGCCGGCATCTGCCGTTCTATACCCAATCTTAGTCACTTCGAGAAGACATCTTCATTGATTACAAACATATCTTTTGCAGAAGTTTTCTTGCTTTCGTCTGCTATCCTGGACCGTAACACATTATGGCCGACTTTGAAGAACTCGAGACGCGCCGGCTAGAACTAGAAGAGAACGTGGCAAAGCTACGCAAATCTTTGCAACACTGGCGAACATGGGATGCCGAGTATGAAGGCTTGAAGGAAGAGCTTTCGTCTGGTGTGAATGTACAATCTGGAAAGGATTGCGTAAGTTATTGTATATGCATCCTGCAAACACCCTTGCTAATGACAGACAGANCACGCATCAGCGAGAAGTTTGGAGGAGAACTTGTTAATGAANAAAGGTTTGATACAGAACCATACCCAGTTGAGAAGTTCATTCTGACCGTCTCAGAAATCTTTGACTTGTTTGGAATTGGANAAGGACCAATTCGCCATCCGATAGAAGTCAGCCGACTTATTGACAGACGCCTGAACTATGTACAACAAAATGTGTCGACTATCTCCAAGCAGGTGGAGAAGATCGAAAGTCAACTATCCGAAGTGCTAGAGGAGATGGACAGGGAGAATGACGACGCACAGGAACCTGGACTACCAATGACTGAGATCATCGAGGAACTGGATGAAGCTGGAAACATTATATCGAGCAAAGTCACCCAGCCCGAACACCAAACAGCACAAATCATCGAAACTCTTCGCAAAGCTGGCCTGAAAGACATGGACACTAAATCAAAGAACGAAGACACGACTAAAGACTCGGCCCCTGGTGCTACCNAAAAGCCTGAGGCTGCTCCAGCAAGCAAGACACTAGAAACGCCAAAAGTCGCAGCCGATGCTCTCAAAACTTCCAAGAAGGGAGTAAGCTTCGCAGAGGAGGTCCAGGAAAGAGAGATCCCATCGCGGGCCGACCATGCCAATGCTAGCAGATCATCTGGAGTTGACCCTTCTCTATTCAACGGCTCGTTTGCCAACGGCGAGCGTGTCATCGAGTTGGACGACGACGACGATATCGTCGGAACCCAAGCGGTGATCCCCGAGGACGAATCTCCGGAAGATGCAAGGCTACGCAGGGAAATGCTTCAATACAACCTCAATGAAGTTGGGCAGGTGGTGGCTGAACTGGATCTGGATGAGAATCTATCAGAGTTCGAAGACGACGATGACTACTTCGACGATGATTACGACAGCGAGATGTCCGAGGAAGAGGATGAACACGGAAGGTCAATCCGCCCAGGAGTTTCCAAGAACTACAGAGATCAGATGCAAGAACTGGAAAAACAGCTTCGCTCAAGAGTTATTGGAAACCTCGGACCTAATGTTGAAGAAGTCGATCCTGTGTACGATCCCGAGGGACTTCGCCGTCTTGTGGTTCGTGGCGAGGAAGGAACATCTGACGAGAACATCAAGCCAGCACTCTCGAAGGGCAAAGAGGCAGTCAAGCCAGACGCATCTGCAAAGAAGGGTGTTAGATTCTCAGAAGAGTTGGATGTGCAAGAGGCGCCCAAAGCATCCGAAGCTCCAACCGCTTCCAAGCCACGCACTGCACCAATCGCAGACGTCGTCGAGCGAGCACCTTCCAAGCCTCAAGCTCCTGCCGAACCAGCAAAACCTGCCAAGGTCTCTCGCTTCAAGCAGAACAGAGCCGCTGCCTCTGAGCCAGCTCAACCCGAGCCTGCATCAAACCAAGTCTCTGGCTCCGTCATCTCAGACAAGATTGTCGAAAAGCCAGCTGCGCCAACGACTACTGCACACGCGCCAGAAGAAGTTGACGAGCTCGATCCCGAACTGCAGCAGCGCCAACTTGCTTCCGAGTACTATCGCCTGCGAAACAACATCATCCGTCAACAAGGTGGATTCAAAGAGACGGAAGAAGAAAAGGATGACCCCTTGATGGAGCAATTCCCTGATGGCAAGCTGAAAAAGGTGAGTAGATTCAAGGCTGCCAGGATGAAGTTTTAGACGACTAGACAAAAAGCAATGGCTACTAGCTTTTTATACATATCTCCCAAGATAGAACATGATACAAAATGCATGGAACGTCAAAGTTCGTCCGCAAGGACGGCGAATGTGGAGGCGGAGAGCTCATTCTGCCTTTTCACTTCATCGACGGTTCCTAGAACAAAGCCAGGGCTCTCTGATTCGGCGACCTTGCTCCCCATGGACGCTGCATCTAGTTTCGCCCTCGACATACAGTGATTGATATCTTTGATTGTTTTGAAAAGTGGATTTTCGATGACATGAAACATAAGAGTACAGATTGGCCTTTATACAAAACCAATAGAACCACGACGATTTTTCTTTCTCGGGTGGCTTGAGATGTGATTTCGAAGAGTGAAGAGCAGACAGGAGCCCTCATTAGGCGCGCCGGTCGTGTATGGATGGGAAGAAAAATAAAGACAGCCCCAGATCAAGAAAGTTGATGCTTTTCGCTCCAAACGCCGAATATACCCGTACATAACACAAGTGTTTTTGTTTGCAAAGTCTTTCTCTTTCTTAAGCGGCGATGGGCTTGGGAGCGGCCTCGATGCCTTGCGGAGGTGGGGGAGGCATGTCGAGTCTGGTGTTTTCTGCCATCATGCGCTGGAAACCGATACCGACACCCTCGATGACGGCGAGTAGGATGGCGCAACCGATGGCACCGTTGCGCATGGCCTTGTAACCACCACGGACGGCAAGAGCACCACCGGTGAAGAAACCGGCAATGATGGCGTTCCAAGGGTCTTCCTTCTTGCTGTGGTTGGGTCAGTATGGCGGACTGGTCTGAAGCGAGTCGGACAAGACGTACCGAATGCCCTTGACCGCACAGTCAAAGGTACTGAACATGCCACCCCAGACACCAAAGTTACCACCCAGAACGGGAGCACGCGCCTTGATGGCAGTCAGAGCGCCTATCCTTCTCTCGCCATANGCTGTTGCGCCGAGTCTTAGTATGTTGTTTCTGGTCGTGTGAGGTGGTTGTTGGCTGGATCAAACGTACGGACTGTTTCTGAAACCCTTGATACCGTGCCAGAGCGAACCGCCGATTGCGCCCATGCAGAAAGCACCTCCGAAATCGTTCAAGGCCCTGTGGGAGGAGCAAAGTTAGCGGGTTGGCGGGAGGTGGTGGCGGATGAGGTGAACATACACCCAAGGGCAAGGGTCTCTGGTGTGATCCATGGCGAGTGTGAGATGTGAGTGGTTGTGGTCGAGGTCGGCAAGTGGATAGTGTCTTGAGTGACGGATTGGCCTCCACCTGCAACTTTTCCGTCCACGATGATGGAAGGATGGTCCGTGCGTCATGTGTTTTTGCTTGGCCAAAATTGTTCTGTTCCACTGCATCTTTCTCTCTTTCACCAGCAGCAATCATGTCGCTGGGGGCACCAGAGGTTGCTCCGGTCTTGTCAACTCCGGATACACACGTCTTTGAGGATCCCACCCCTGCCGTCGACCCTTCTCTGGTGCGGACTTTCTCGGACGAACAATTGTATCTTACCTACGAAATCAAGAGGACCGTCCAAGAAATCCGCCATGGAAAATACAAGCGGATAGCTCTCCAATTCCCTGATCACATGTTGACCGATGCTCCGAGGGTCTTTGAAGCATTGCAGAAAGAGCTCCGCACACAGAACAAGAGTCAAGACGTGACTGAAGCCTTGGATAAGGTTTCGCTGGACGCCGAACAAGAGAGACTTTGTATCCTTGGTGATACTTCTTATGGCGCCTGCTGTGTCGACGAGGTCGCTGCCGAGCACGTCCTGGCCGACGTTGTAGTACACTATGGCCGTACCTGTCTTTCCCCGACCCAGAGGCTGCCTGTCATCTACGTCTTTACCTTTCGTCCGCTTGATCTGGATGCCGTCGTCGCCAGCTTCCAAAAGACTTACCCGGAGAAAGACCACAAGGTAGTCTTGATGGCAGATATTCCCTACGCTGAGCATGTGCAGCCTCTACAATCTGCTCTTCAATCTCTTGGCTACACCAACCTGTTTTCCACATCCATCGTCCACAACCCTTCGTCTTTATTGCCTAATCGCACTGTCCCTGCTGGTGCAGACGAGGATACTACTGTTCTTCTTGACTATTCGCTTTTCCACATCTCGGAACCTCCGACATCCCTCCTTCTCAACCTCACCTCTCGTGTAGCTTCCATCGACATCTACCCAACCGTATCTGAGGGGTCTGAAGCTCCTCAGACCATGTCAGCATCCACCGCTCAAATTCTCCGTCGCCGTTATGCTCTCGTCACAAATCTTAGCACTGTCTCTGTCTTTGGAATTCTGATCAACACTCTTTCCGTCAAGAACTACATGGAAGCTCTGGCTCACGTTCAGGATCTAATCACCCGTGCTGGCAAGAAGTATTACACCTTCGTTGTTGGCAAGGTCAACGCTGCCAAGGTTGCAAATTTCTCAGAGGTCGATGGTTGGGTCATCATCGGTTGCTGGGAGAGCAGTTTGATTGAGAGCAAGGACTTCTGGAAACCCATCATTACACCTTTCGAACTAGAGCTGGCTCTCACAGACGAAAGAGATCGTATCTGGACCGGAGAATGGAACAGCGACTTCCAATCCTTGCTCGGCAAGAAAACTGTCGTCAGGGGCGAAGGCACATACGATGACGAATCAGACAACCAGGACGGTCAAGGTATCGATGATGGGTCGGACTCGGAATCAGAGGCGCCAGTCTTCGATCTCCGTACTGGACGTTACGTATCGCAGAGCCGACCCATGGCACGACCTTCTGCTTCCGCCTCCAAGAAGACCGCTGCTACCAGTCTCATCAAGCGTGCCAACGGTGATCTCGCTCAGATCGGTGGCCAAGTCTCCCCTGCTGCCGAGTTCCTGCGCAACAAGCGTACATGGCAAGGTTTGGGCACCGACTACGAAATCGCCTATGACTACGATGAAGATGGCAAGATTAAAGGCGCGACCATGGAAGAAGGCCGTGGCGGTGTTGCCCGAGGATATGTCGTCGGTGACTCTGAGCGTTCATGAAGCAATCTCAGATTGGCCAAGTCAAGCCGAAAGGCTCAAGACTAGCTTAACTTCCTCCACCAACATTCACACTCGCAGAGGTAAGCTTTGTTTTCTTTTTTTCTTTTTCATGCAAAACGTGCCGGTTCAAGGATGAACACCTGATAGGGACAGCTTATGCACTATGTGCAGATGCTGAGAAATCAGGAAGAGTATTTTAGTAGATGCCTCTCTAGTCTGAAAACACACCAGCTCGCACAATCTTCATTATCTGCATTTATCATTGGAGAGCAGCTGGCTAACGCATCATGGCTCTAGGTTACATCTTCTCACATCGAGACGACATTCCAATCGACAAGCATCATGCTCAAGAATGCGCATCAACGCTTCTGAAATTCTTGATGTCCACTGGCATTAAGTAAAGCCATACGCAAGCTAGAGGCGTTGCCGATAGATCTTGATCCCTGACTAGATACTCTCTCATGTGCAATCGAGGTCTCATGTTCATACAAGCATCACGATGGTCTCGAAGCAAATCGCACCAAAGAATACTCAATTCGATTGAAATCCTTCCATGCCTACGAAGATCGACAGACGCGCTCAGGACTGGGCAACACATTGGACAGCTACTGCTATGGCAATAAGCTGATTTGCCAACTCCAAGCTTGTGAATATACACACACATCGACGCACATCTGCAGCACCATGCTCCAATGCCGCGGTATACAAAAAGCATGTAACCCAGCAGTCCGAAACCAATCGGTAGCATCCATGTCCAAGACTCGAAAGAGCTTGGACTATCTATATAGATATATCACTATACGATAAAAAAAAAGTGGACCCTACGTGTCTGTCAACTTTCACCTTTTGCTCCTTCTGCCATCGTATCCCTCTTTTGTGTTTTTTCTGTTGGGTCTGTGTCTTGCAACACCTACAGCCCCATGCCTTGGGGTGTGGGTCAGGAACACGATGGGATATGCGGGTCAGTCCATGCCCCCTTTTTTTTCGAATCGAAATTTCCGAAGAAAAAGTAAAAACTCGAGAAAAAAAAAAAGTAAAAACACTGGTCTAAAGTCGGTGGTAACTGTTTGGATTTCGTACATGGCTACTCTCCCTGGCACCCTGACGAGGTGCTGGGTCAAAGTGGTATCGCCGGATTTTCACATCGACAGTCTCGACCCCCCCTGAGATTGACTCCTTTTTTCTTGCTCCTTCATTGTGTTGTGATGAGCTTTCAAAATTATATACAGTGTCTTTCTGGATAGAGGTGTGAACCATAGAGAGATGCCTAGACTTGACCTTCTCTCTCCATGGACATTGCCGCGTTATAGAAAAGCATTGTGTATTTCTACAGCTACTCCGTGACTGTCCATCACACACTAAGAGGCAATGAGAAAAGCAACAAAGGTTAAGTTTAGAAATAATATTATTGTTATATTTATTCGGTAACCAAGAAAGTCTGTTCTATAGCAAAAGAAACAGCTATCCATTAAATCTATAGATGAATCTTCTTCTTTCCAGAAGAGTTGTAATGGTGATTGAACCACAACACGACAAACAAAACAAACGCTCCGATCGCAATCTACATGATCATCATGACGGCAGCGACGGCGGACACGGCAAAGGCCAATGAAGGCACAGCGCCCTGGAGGCCACCGCTCGAAAAGCTGAGCACGTCGTTCTTGGCAAGCTTGTACGGGGGCTCGTAGGTGGTGTTGAGAGTCGAGTTGCGAGTGCCGTCCCAGCAGTAACGCTGGAAGCACTGGTTGCAAACATCAGGGACCTGGGTGTTTGTGCGGCCGAGCGAGCGGCTGAGGATGGCGCAGCCGACACAAGTGGGCCATTCGCTGTCGAGGGTGCCGTTGCCCAGGGTAGCGATATTGTAGCCGTTCTCAATAATGTAGTTACGCTCAGTGTCGTTGTACTGCAGGTCGTAGGTGCTGACGTTGCTGTGGTACACATAAGGAGCATTGGGGATGTAGACGATCAAAGGAGTCATGTGTGTAG